GTGCCAAAAGGCTTGCAAGAATCTTTCAGCCTTCTATTGTCGAAGACTTTGGGGCGTCCAGCCTTTTGGAGGGCAGCTTCGTTGGCAAACGTGTCGTAAGGGTTCGGCCGGCGGAGCAGCTATTGAGCTATACCAACGATCTACTCCAAAGAGTTCCTGATCAGATTGAAACTGATATGAAGGAAGAAATGTTCGATCCAATGGACCAGCTGAAGGCCGAGAAACTGCTAGAATTCTGTCGCGATGGAGAGCTCGATATGATCAAAGCAATGGGCCCCATTGAACCCCTTCTACAAGTTAGAACTGTCAACTTCTTTGGGTTCACGCCACTTCATTGGGCTGTTTTCGGTGGCTACGTTAAACTCGCCGAGTATCTACTAGAGCAGGGTTCTTCCATGATGCATGGCCCTGAGTTTAAACCCGACAACGCGGCTTAGGCACCTATTCACCTGATTGCTCTACTCGGACAAGACGCGTTTTTGGGCGTTTTACAGAAATACGTGGAGATGGATCCCAAGTGGCTTGAGACAACAACTTCACCGTACCTTGATTGTCTGTCACACCTAGTCGTCATGTCAGACAGGTTCTCGGAAGGTCTGCTACGAGCATTCACCTCTAGAAGAATATCCTTAAGCTACTATGGGAACGACGCTAACATGTTGGGAGAGCGTCCAATGCACAGGGCCGTAGCGACGCGCAACGGCCAAGCCTTGAAAGTCTTGCTAAAGCAGTGCGACGTGGACGCTAATTTGAACATGTTCACTGCCAACGTGTTCATGGGAAAGTGGGCATTCTTCGACCATTGCCAGCGGTCAGTGGTCTGGCACGGAGCTGGATCAGGATTTGCAGAGGGTATTCTTTTAATGTATCAAGAATTGTCCATCATACGGGACTATCTGGATCGTCCAGACGACATGGGAGTCTCTCCTATGCATATTGCTTGTCGACAAGGTTACGAGAGGGTGGAGATGCTTCTTTCTCTTGGTGCAAAGGCGGACGGAAGAGCGACGTTTGGACTTACGCCTGCTCACTTCGCGGCCTTTTTCGGCCATGCTGCATGCCTTCAGAAGATGGCATATCTTGGTGTAGACTTGGATACTCCGGCAATCCACCTTCATGGGCTTCGACCACTCCATCTCGCGGCTCTCCGCGGGCAGCTTGAGTGCGTTGAAGTTCTTAGTCGGTCAGGAGCAAATCAACATTCTCTGGCGTATGCCGTTTTTGAGACTTACAAGGAGTGGTGGGAGGAAGGGAACGCCGATGATATGGAATGGACCGAGCTGGAATTTCCCTTGTCACCAATAGGGATGGCGCGACTGAGAGGTCATTCACTTGTGACCCAACGGCTAGCATATTGGAGGAACGATCATGCAAATGTTTCTGTGCCCCGTGGTAGACGAGAAGACAAGCATCATATGGTGTGTGCCGAATTGCCAGCATAGCTGATTAGTCACACATATCCTAATCGCCTGGGCTGGCAACTTTGCACTGATCGGTGGAGATTCATGCCACATCACATCAATATCGTAATTATTCGACATTTTCATTCGGGCATAAGTAACCCTAGCACATGGAAAGTACGCCTTCAAAGGCGGGGTTCAGTGCAGTACACCATGGAGGTGTTCATTGAGTTGAAAATTCACGAGGTTCGGGTTGAATCACTATTCTCTGGAGTATAGCGTCGTTAAAATCAATAACAAATGGCGAGATGAGGAGGGAGACGGTGAAAAATGGACAGAATTGAATCCTCCTCCAACCTCTGAGGAAGTAAAGACCTGGAACGGCTATCCTTTTGATCCTAAGCAACTCTTTGCGAGGATTATATCCTGGGCTACATGTGAACTTAGCCTGCTCAAGTCTTGTAACTCGCAAGGCTCGCATGATATCAAGTTGGATGGTAGAATGACATAGTCATAATGAGGCTTGCGAGCTTGGGAGAAAGACCCTGCGATAATGTGTTTCTGAATTCAGGTTGGTCCTTATGTGGTGGGGTCAGTCGGTCCACGTTTAAGCGGAACACTACCTTAGTGGGCACTCAGGGGTATTTATTTTGGCCTGAATTTGGAAAGCTGAGCAAACCCGCAAGTGGAGGGAAACGCACCGACATCTCCACTCCATTTTTCCCTTAACAAATGGCTGCTCTGCTCTACCTTCGTCATTACTTTGGAAGGACATGCAACGCAAAGCCTTGTAACACATGTTGGATTAATGTTGAATATGGCTGTTCTTCCGCAGGGTTTCTAAAATTCGAAACTTGTGTAAAACCATTACACTCCCCGAGGTTTGTTGCTAAACCCCTTGACTTCTTCCTGACGCCCCACACCCATCCGCAACTCGTCACCATCCTTCTTACTCACAACGCCATATCTGATCTTTTCACCCATCATCGCTTTAGATAGCTCAACTGCGGTCAATCGATCCGAGCCTGCCTCTAGTTCCATATGCCTTGAATCTCTGAAGACTGTCGAAACATAACCCAAGATCTCTGGACTGCGAGCCCAGTGAGCAAGTATGACGCTGAAAATACCTGCCGCAAGCAGTATCACACAGCTTGTTAGACACCCAGTTGCCCACGCACTCGAGACATCAAAAAGAACCAGGCCCTGACTAGATATTGCTGAGACTGATACATTCGGCTTAAAACTGGAGTCTGCCCTGGATCCTGCAGTGATATTGAGAGACAACTGGGTCAATTGGAAACATGTGTTGAGAAGTTGGCTCAATCGGATTCCCAGTTCACCAGCAGTGACATTTTCTAGAAAAGTCGGTTCGGCCCCATTGAAGCCTCGAAGACCGGGGTCTTGCATGTAATAAAGAAACGATTCTGTTTGATAGGATATCAGACCGCCAATGGTCATGGGCATTTCTTGCGAAATATATCGAAAGATTGTCGGAAAAGATAGTGGGTTATGTTTTCTGAAGCGTGCAGCTGTTGTGAAGGACGCTGAGAGGTGACGAAACAGTTTTGCCGGGCTGTTGTGGAGCGGGTGCATGTGACGAGTGATTCAACGTATCTTTGAGTAACCCTGCAGTAGCCAGTGAAGAACAGCTGTGGCGCAAAGAAACTGTTCGTTCAGATCGCCTGGAATAGCAGCCTCGTTGGTCCAGCCTGAATCCCACTCTCGCCCGCGAACAGGTTGGGTCGATGAAAATCCTTGGAACGAGGGCCTTGTGTTGATTTCTGAAATTCCGTATAATTTGTCTGATTTCCTCCGAACCACAGGGGATTCACAAATCGATCAATCCCTAGACTCCATGTTGTAGAGCTGCCGTTTCTACTCCTTGAAATGCCGTGCCATGTGCCGTTTGGAAGTTGGTACGTCCGGTTCGACCCGCCCCTACCGGCGAAATCATCGAAAGCAGACTGGAGCATGTTGGCCACCACCATATCTTTTTGAGCTCCATCCGGTCCCGATTTTGTACTGGTGGTGATATCATGGCATTGAAGCTGCATGTAAATTGACTCCAGCGAGAAACTAGTCTTTGCGTCATAACTGACCTGACTGAGCGGTATCCCTGTCAAGGAAGAGTACTGATCTGCACTGAGGTTTTCGGATACATCCTTCCAGTCGCTTCCGTTTGAATCACCTAGAAACGGAATCTTGACATTTCCCCACAAGTCCATGGCATCCAACTTGGAAGTTTCTGGTGTTGAGACAAGTGTCGTGTATAATCCAGCAATTGCGCGAAATCTTGCCTGCAAAACATAGCTGGCAGTGGCGCTATTTTCTATGCCAGCCCAGCCAACAAGTAGACTTTTTGCGCTATTGTCGAAGTAGGTGATAGATGTGTTTGTCAACTCTGTATTGGTTAATGTGTTTGACATCCGCAGCAGTGATTGAGTCCCTAGAGGAGAAAGAGCCCACAAGGCAAGAAGTGCCAAAGTATGTAGGTTCCAAGAGTGAAACTAGAACAATGTCATGATGGTTCCCCCGACGGTCCGGCTACCCATCAGTTCCTCTAATGAGCCCACGGAGGCACCGCGCTCTAGTCTCCAACGGGCCGCTTCGGACATGAGACGGCCTACAACAGAGGCAAATACAATCGGAAGTACTGTCGCCATCTAGAACAAAACATTAGAATCACCACTATTATTCGTTCAAAGCAACTCACAACCGTGATCGCATTCTCCCAAGAAGCATGAGAGTCCCCAATAACCCAAGAGCCTTTCAAAGACCAGACCAAGATCACAAAAATGACCAGGCCGAGAGGTAGTAGTATTGCGACGCAGTCGGCGAGTATTGTGGTGAGTTCAACTTTTCGTTTGGGGTACTGTGTCGCAGATGCGAGTCCTTCGTCTGCGGCAATGGGCTTGTACTCTCCACAGCTGTCATTGCATTCATTCGACGATGGTAGGTGCAATTCTTGAGAACCTCCCTGATCGTCGGCGAGGACTTCAGTACTCTGTGGGGGAATATGAGAGATTTGCATATTGATGGACTCGTGCGAAACCGACGCCGTCGACGCATGGAGGGTTGAGACTGGAGAAGGCGACCTGTCGGGTCTCATCGCGGTTTCGGAAGACGATTCCAAATGCTCCTGCATCTCGTGAGAATGGGCCAGTCACGCGAATGAGAAAGAAATGAGGGGCAAGAACGAAGACAGAAGTCACCTTTAAAATAGACAGCTAGCTTGGCTGTGCCGCTCGCCAGTAAGCTTGCATGATGCGAAATGTGCGGATCGGTAAGGCAGATTCACATCTGGGACGGTGCACTCGGTTGAGGATCGATTCAGTAAGTGTTTAAAAATAATGTCTTGGCAGATGGTCACACAGAATAGGATTATCCACGGGCGGAGAACACTTGAAAATCTTATGCATATCGAGAGTCTGACAGACAAAAGCATCACATGTTACTGACGACAAAGACAGTTGACGAAGGTGTCAAACGTGAATTTCGAACAGAAGTAAACGCATTGAGAAATAGTCTATGTAAGAGTTTCGACCAGAATATGGCTACATCAGAAGTGAAGGGTTTCGGTTTGTGCTGCATGTCTCCCGCCTAGTGCATGTGCTTGTTGTGGATGGCCCTTCCAAATCTCATGGGACGGCTGCGAAGCTGTCTCCTGGCAGGGGAAGCAGCAGGCGCAGCAGTAGAGTTGGAGATCGGGCACGAGCTGTGCATGACACCGCGGCCGTTGGTACCAACATAGACAACGTTGGCCTCGTTGGCGGAACCAACAAGAGCAGCGCCGTCAATCGCACCAAAGCTGTAGGAGCCCTGGATGTCGACCCAGGTGGCACCACCATCAGCGCTGCCGTACAGCTTCTTGCCCTCGGAGCCGTTGCCAAAGACGTAAAGGTTCCAGGCGGTGCCGTCACCCTTGCCGACGGAAACGGCGTGGGCGTTGGAGGGGCTGGAAGACAGGACGGAGAAGGTCTTTCCGGAGTCGGTGCTGTGGAAGATACCGGCATCGGTGGAAACCCAGATCTCGCCGGCCTGGGTGGGGTGGGCAGCGATGTGACGGATCTCGGTGACGTTACCGAGAGGAGCCTTGGTGAAGGTGGCGGCACCGTCGGTGGAGACGTAGAAGGTGGACTTGGACCCGGCATAGAAGACGCCGGCGGCCTTCTTGTCACTGGCGATAACGCTGCTGGCAGGCAAAGTGACGTTCTCGAGCTTGCCCTGGTTGCGAGAGGCAAGGACGCCCTCGTTGAGAGTAGACCAAAGGATAACGTCGCCATCAGCAGAGTAGGCAACGGTACCATCAGCGGCAGTGGTGCCAGTGGCGTTGTTGACAGCCCAGGTCGCACCACCATCGCTGCTAAGAGCGAGCTGAGGAGTGCCGGTGGCCTTACCGATGCGAACAACCTTGGTAACGTCGTTGCCGGCGAAGTCGACAGAGACACTGCTAGACCACCAAGGGTGGGTCCAGGCAGTCTGAGGAGCCTTGCTGAGATCAGCGACGGAGTCGTAGGTGAAACCATTGTTGTCGAGAGTGGCAAAGAGCAACTCGGAGCCGCCGGGGGCAGAAGCCAGGGACGAGACAGCCATCTCCTCAATACCAGAAGCGAGACTCTCGATGGTGATGGTCTGGTTCTTGTCCCAGTTGGTCAAGTCGTGCCCGCCGTAAATGGTGACGCCGGTGCCGTACATCCATCTATCGCTGTCGTGGGGGTCGATCTCGAGGGACTCAATCATCCAGCCAAGCTTCTTGGTGTCGACGTCGAGGAAGTTGGTCTTGATCCAGGGGGCGTTCTTGGCGCCGATGGTGTACTGAGGCGCAACCTTGCCGTCAGCTCCCCAATTCCAGATCTTCTTCCAGGTCGCGCCGGAGTCAGTGGAGCGGAAAAGCTGAGCGTCGGGGTACCAGCTGTTGAGGGTAGCCACGACGATGGTGCCGGGCTTCTGCGCATCGACGGCAATACCGCCGAAGCCGTAGAAGAGGTCGGTGCCGGAGGTAGGAGTAATGTCAGTCCACTTGCCGGAGGTGAGGTCGTATCTGTAGACGGCACCCTGAGTACCATCATACGGGCCAGAGCCATCAGAGTAGGTGAAGTAGATGACCTTCTCGGCGACAGAAAGTTTGGCCTTGTGGGGGAAGAACTTGGCAGGCTGGTCGGCAACAGGTCCCCAGGTAGCACCGGCGTCGGTGCTGACGTAGACGGAGGCAGTGGTGTTGTCGGCGGTACCAACGAAGATGCGGGAGGTGGCCCCGTTGACAGCCTCGGAGGTCTCATCGAAGGTGACGAAGGTCAGACCCTGACGATCGCCGTTGTAGGCATCCGTCTCGGCACCGGGACGGTAAGTGCCAACGGCCTCGAAAGAAGAGACCTTAGCGAAAGTCGCGCCACCGTCGGTAGACTTCCACAAGCCCTTGCCGCTGCGGGCACCGAAGTAGAGGATCTGAGAGTTCTTGGGGTCGACAGCGAGACGCTCACCCATGCCGCGTCCAGGCATGTTGCCGCCGACCTTGAAGGGGAGCGTGGTCACCTCCCACGTCTCGCCCTTGTCGGAGCTGCGGGCGATGGTTCCGTTATTGGGGTCCCTGAGATAGTCAGCCAGGTTTCCACACAAGGAGTGCGTCACTGAAAGTACCAATCATTGGTGTACATGCCCGCCGCGATATACACCTTGTTCGCATCGGAAGGGTCCAGGGCCAGCGCGTCAATGCCCCATCGGTTCCAGTTGCCATCGTGCGCAAAGCCGTTCGCGTCGGTCACGGGAGTCCAAGACTCGTCGTCGTTGAGGCGGTAGAGACCACCAATGTCGGTACGGGCGAAAGCGACGCCCTTCTCGGTCGGGTGGAATTGGATGGACGGGACGAAGCCACCACCGCCTCCGGTGTGGACGTTCTTCCAATCGCAGGCGGCGCGGGCGGATGCCGCCGCCGCCAGGATGAGTCCGGCGCCTCTCATTTTCGGGGTAGTTTTGTAGGTTGGTCTAGTCACTCGAGTCTCTAAAGAATGTGTGAATCTTGAATGGGCCAGCCAGGGTGAAGCGAATGTCGTCGATCGAAAAGAGTGTCGATGAAAGCGAATGTCAGTGAAAAAAGAAAGGACTGGTTTGAACAGGTGATGGAAGAGCAAACAGCTTCAATTGGGGGGGCCGGTCTACTATTTACATGTCCATACGGACTTTTCTCACTCTCGCTTTCGGGCAGTATTCTTCTCTTGGTTAGTGATCTCTCCGATAGAGTGGCAGGGGACTTCTGAATGTCAATTGGGCCTTCAGGGGAGGAAGGCATCTCGAATAGATTGAAAAGCTCCCCAGAAAACCTTAATATCGCGAAAGAACCTTCTCAGAAGCATTCCGACAGCCGAGGTGGGATGCTCGCGGGCCGCCCGCTGCAACCCATCAATCAGACGAGGCGCAGACAGGGTGTTCAAGCTCCATCAGCCCTGAAAAGTCCACCAGTACGAGGAGAACTTGGCCAGAAAGAGAGGTGATCCGGCAATTAGCCTATGTAGAATGAAGTCATGCCAACTCGGAGAACCGAGGAGAGTGAAAACGTTAGCCAATTGCTCATCTGTTTGTGTTGACTATTGTGTCAAATAAACATAAAGCCCCTGGAAACTTTGATTAAGGGGCAATGAGACGAACCCAGCGCTCCGGACTGAACAGAGTTAGCGACCGCGAATCCCTGCATCCTTGGGGGCGGAGCGGCTGTGACTAAGCGGAACAGGTGCCTTTCGAGCTCGAAAACAGAGTCATTTGCGCTTGGCGGCTAGAAAGGGTAGTTACCTATTTGAGCTCCAGGTCTTTACAGACGGTGATTTAATATGGAAGAGTTTCCAGACAGGCGCTGAGGCTCATATACCTCTATCGTAAGGTATGGGTCAAGACCGAAGCAAAACCGAGACCGAGAGATTCAACGACCAACTCTATCAAGGCCACGTGCTTTCAATCGCTTCAACTCAAGAAGTCTTGGGGACCGAGGGCTCTTCGCAACGTTTCCACCTTAGGTACAGTCAGGTCTACTTATCATTGCTGAGTGGCCATCAGTTATTCGACGACAACGACAAAACATCTCTTCCTTTCTGAAATCTGATCTCCTAAGGATACCACTTTGCTCGAGAAGGCGGACGCGACGATCATTTCTGTTTCCATGAATCTTCCACACCAGGCTGATGAATGAGTCGAATGGTAACAACATGAATCAGAGCACCAGCTGAGCCTGTCCAACCCAACGGCTCACTGCATTGCAAAATTTTGTCCTGCCTGTGACATTGTTTATTGAGGGCTTTCATGTCATGCAGGAAACCATATCTTCAGGCGTTGACTTCGAGGTACTCCGGGAATTATGTCCTGTCTTTCGCTCAGATGGTATCAACACACGCCGGCGTGGAAATCTCGACCAATTTCTCAAGGTCCTTGAATTAGGATGACTTTCGCAGTCACGACATTCGAAATGCATCAAGATCTGGCGGCTCTGCTGCGCACTCCGAGTCTTCATTCGGCCGATAACACCGTCCCCTAATCGTACCGCCTCCCAAGCCGGCCGAACAATTTGGGGTTAATTAGCCGGAGTCGCTCGCAACATTGAACTGATTGAGGGCTAGACTCGCCCTATCGCTCGCAGTATTGGTTGCAACGGCTACCAAGAATTATACCCGCCGGAGAAGCGACTGCCTTGTTAATATTTGAGATGTTCGTCAGACCTACAGGTTGACAGATCGAGGTCTATTGTTCCGTCACCTCCTGAAACAAGCGACTTTGTTCTCTATACCAAGTCAGGACAAAGAGGTTCTCTTGGTTGGGACTGGCTAAACTGTCACTGGATGGAAGACATCATCGCCTTCTTTATCCCAGTATGTCTAGCCGGGTCGCAACGCCACAAGTTGGCGCGTTCCCGGATTCGGTAATCCGCACGGGATGCCCTGAAGTCTTTCACCGTCCCTGACTGCGTATAGAAGTTGAAGGTTCAGCCGGACACAAATTCTGCTCCCTTTCTCTCAGCATCGCGACTCTCCCCTGAATTGGCGGGCTAAACTCAATTCTGCATTTAGCCCCGGATCGCGCCCCCCGCAGCCATGTCCGCCACGTTTCTGTGCCTGACAATCATGACGGTGATCAGTGATCACTTTTTACGTTCTCCAAAGGGTCCAAGCCACTGACCACCACGAGACCAGAGCGCCCTAAGAGCGGTGGTGGGTGGTGAACCATGGAAGATTTCACATCTCAAATGTCTGTTCTCACGCTAAATCTCGGCACGCTTAACCGCAAGCGAGTTAGACAGGCTTTAGTATTCTCAAAGAGGCTTGATTCTCGAGATCTTCCTTCCACCCGTCGACGACCTGACCTAACCATCAATTAGACTTCTCGTAAAGGATCATGATGATCTATTCTCGGCCAGTCCCGCAGCGTTCCTTGAGACCTAAAACATCATATAATCTCTTGACGATCCTTCGAAACATGTTCTTCTCATCCTCAGACTTGACAGTTCACTCTCATTCATTCTTCCTTTCCTTCCATTCAGACCCAACAAGATGCGCGTTTCTCAGGCTATCGCGACGTTTGTCGCCATCATTAGCGTGACCAAGGCCGCCCCAGCCGACGATGAGGCGCGTCAGCACGCCGAATTCAAGCGCCAGCTCGGCGGCAACGCAGGAGACGCCAAGGACGCGACTTTCGATTACGTTATTGTCGGCGGTGGTACCGCTGGCCTTGTGATGGCCAACAGACTGAGTGCCAACCCCAGCATCTCAGTCGCTGTGATCGAGGCCGGCACATTCTACCAGATTACGAACCCCATCATTGGCAACACGCCTGCGGGTGATACCCTGTTTGCGGGCGCCAGCCCTCTCGACACCAACCCTCTCGTTGACTGGAACTTCATCACTCAGCCCCAGGCTGGTGCCAATAACAGGCGCATCCACTATGCTCGTGGAAAGTGTCTCGGTGGAAGGTGAGTAATGATGTGAAAACCAGACGATTATGAGATGTAACTAACATGATCCAGCTCGGCACGTAACTTCATGATCTACCAGCGCGGTACGAAGCAGTCTTACCAGAAGTGGGCGGATGCTGTTGGCGATGACAGCTACACTTGGGATTCCCTCTTCCCTTACTTCCAGAAGAGTGTCAAATTCACCCCTCCCGGCTCCTCCCGCGCTGCCAACGCGAGCGCCGAGTACAACCCCGATGCCTTCTCCCCTGCCGGCGGACCGCTCCGGGTTTCCTACGCCAACTACGCCCAGCCCTTCAGCAGCTACCTGGAGCCTTCTCTCAATGAGATTGGTATCCCTCAGGCTCAGGACTTCAACAGCGGCGAGCTGATGGGCGCACAGTACTGCTCCGATACTATTGCACCTGAAACTGAGAAGCGCGAGTCCAGTCAGACCTCTTTCCTCAACCAGGCTATCGGCCGCTCCAACCTGAAGGTTTTCCAGCTGTCCATGGCCAAGAAGATTCTCTTTGACAGCTCTAAAACCGCTACTGGCGTTGTCGTCAACACCGGTCTCGTCACCTACACTCTCAAGGCTCGCAAGGAAGTCATCCTCTCGGCCGGTGCTTTCCAGAGCCCTCAGCTTCTCATGGTTTCCGGTGTCGGCCCCAAGGACCAGCTCCAGAAATTCAACATCCCCATTGTCGCCGAGCGCCCCGGTGTTGGTCAGGGTATGGAGGACCATGTCTTCTTCGGACCTACATGGCGCGTCAAGGTTCAGACTCTGACCCGTCTTGCCAACGACCTCATCTACACTGCCGCTCAATTTGCCTTCCAGTACTCCATCTTCAAGCAGGGTCCTCTCACCAACCCTGTCTGCGACTTCCTCGGCTGGGAGAAGGCTCCTCGTGACCTCATCAGCGCCGACACCGCCGCTATCCTCGACTCTCAGTTCCCTGAGGACTGGCCCGAGATTGAGTACCTCACTGCCCCTGGCTACGTCGGCAACTTCGCCAACCTCCTTCTCACCCAGCCCAAAGATGGTTACCAGTACGCTACCATCCTCGGCGGTCTTGTCGCCCCGATGTCCCGCGGCACCGTTACTCTCGCCTCAGCCGACACTAAGGATCTGCCTCTGATCAACCCCAACTGGCTCACCGACCCCACTGACGTTGCCGTTGCTCTTGCTACTTACAAGCGCCTCCGCCAGGCCTTCAGCAGCAAGGCCATGCAGCCCGTCCTCGCTGACAATAAGGAGTACTACCCTGGCGCCGCCGTCCAGACTGATGCTCAGATCATCCAGCAGATTCGCAACGATGTCATGACCATCTGGCACGCGTCTTGCACTTGCAGAATGGGCAAGAGCGATGACCCCAACGCGGTTGTTGACAAGGACGCAAAGGTCATCGGTGTCAACGGTCTGAGAGTTGTTGACGCTAGCAGCTTCGCACTGCTTCCTCCTGGTCACCCTCAGAGCACCGTCTATGTGCTCGCTGAGAAGATCTCTGCCCAGATTCTCAACGGTTACTAGGCACATGATCAAACATAGAGTGAAGTGAAAGGGGGCGTTTGCACATAGACCACTGTTTACATACATAGACGAGATACCACACTCTGTCATTGGACGAGATATTGTAATTACCATAGCATCTCGTTTTCTTATCCTCTAACTTTAAGATTAATACTATAAAACATGATTTGATCTCCTCAGTCGTTCGCCTACTTTGGTGCTGTGTTGCTAATCGCCACCCGGTTCTGAGCCGCCGACCGGCCCTAGTTCGCCGGGTATGGCCGGCAAACCGATAGTACAATGCGGGGTCAAATCGGTGTACTCCCTCCTGAGCCCCTCGCGTATGCATATCCAGTGGATCGAAATAGGCTCGAGATGCATGGATGGGGTAACGGATGACGCCAATCTGCCTAGTCCTTGAAGCCCATCTTAGTCGTCGGCATCATATGAGAGGAATGCCGGCTAACTTCCCGGCTGCCCGGCTCCAGTGCTTATCATGGGCCCGATGTTAAGTCCATACCATGGCGGCCCAAAGCACAGTCTCTGATCCTAGGTATCAACGTCATTAAACCTGCCCAGTGAACGCTGGCAGTCACATCGAATGCCAGAAGCCACACCGTTAAAAGTCACTTCTTTCACAGCTTACGTGCCAAAATGAAGCCGGTTCTTGTTCTTGCTCTGGTGTATGTCATCCCTGTGATTGCTACACAGACAGCGAAATTTGCAAACAATGTCTTGTTCGGAAGAGACAACACGACCGGTATCTGGCCGTATGGACCATTTCGTACTGCAGGAAGAGACATAGTGAATTCTCGTAATGACACAATCGTATGGGCCGGCTTGAATTGGCCACTTAGTGGTAAGGTCGCATGTCAGTCTTTATGAAGACCTGTACTGACATGGTTACGTCTAGGCGAGACCATGATTCCCGAAGGCGTCGAGTACCAATCTGTTTCAGACATCCTAGACTTGGTCAAAAGTGCGGGCTTCAACATGCTCAGGATGCCTTTCGCGATCGAAATGGTGGACCAGATCTACGAGCGGGACGGCTCTGACGTTGGCCTGAAAGAAGCTCTCATCAACGGAATGGGTGTTGAGAACGGCACCCGCGTCGCCGATATGATGGTTTCCAAGAACCCTTCATGGTCATTGGACACGACGAGATTCGAGATCTGGTCTGACATTGCAGAAATTGCGCAACAGAAAGGGATTTTGATTCACCCAGATAACCATGTCAGCAAAGCAATGTGGTGTTGTAGCAACATCGACGGCAACGCTTGGTTCGACAGCTTTAATTTCCCTGTCGACAAATGGCTTCGAGGTCTAGCTTATGTTGCTCGCTGGGCTGGCAAGCATCCCAACGTTGCGAGTATGTCTCTCCGGAACGAGCTTAGGCCTAGTTACAACATCACCGAGCTGGCTGATGCACCACTCCAGTACAACTGGCAGACATACGTCGGCAACATGACGGCGGGTGCCTATGCTATTCACGAGGCGAACCCGGACATCCTCATCAGCTGGTCTGGAATGCAATTTGATGAGGATTTATCAGGCCTCATTAATCAGAAGAATCTGATGACCCACGACTGCTATCACTGCGACACAATCAAGAACGGTTGGGTTTCTGACCCTGTCTATTTTGACCTGGACGAACATCCTTTCAAGGACAAGGTCTTCTGGGAGCTTCACATGTACGACGGACTTACTGAGACTGTGGCAACGGAGAACTGCAAGCTCACTGAGGCCGAGCTGTACTGGAGAGGATTGAATGCCTTGGGTATTGAGTCCCCAGAATACTGCGGTCTGCTGGATGGGAAGTGTGAATCTGCTAAGAGGATCACGCCAGTGGTCATTTCCGAGTTTGGATGGGGGCAAGATTCAAACATGCTAAGCAACACATTTGTCAGTTGCATGACAAACATGACGGTAAAGTACGGTGTCAACTGGATGATGTGGGCGTTCCCAGGCATCTATCGTGTACGAGAGGGTGGCCAGTTCGTATTAGATACGTGGTCCCTTACAAATGATGACTTCTCCGGTTGGCAGTACGAAGAAGGCATGGAGAAAGTTTGGAAACCATGGGTAAAGAGCATGGATGTATATACTATTTGAGAGGTTTGTCTACTTTTACACCGATAGCTGCATCAAATACAATGACCCAAGCTTTTCCATCTCTCACAGCTAGTGAATCTGTCTTTCTTCAATGATCTCAGCCCAATCATGGTCAACTCCACCGTATAAAATGTCTCCCAGCCATCCTTTGATCTTCTTACAAACGTCACCACCGTCGCCCTCTGGGCCCATTGGAACGTGGATGTCCTGAGCACGATGACGAATCTGGGAAACTGCACAAACGTACCACTATGGAGTGTCAGTCTATTTCTTCAGTGGAATATCGGTGTCATTGGGAACTTACCGCCGTGCCAGTGACGAAAGCCTCCAGAAGGCGGCCTTCGGAAGAAGCCTCAATAACCTCCGCGATGGTGTACGTGCGTTCAGTTATTTCGAGCTCCTCGCTTAGTCTCTCCTGAGCCAAATCGAGACAGCTCCGTCTAACGACGCCGTCCAAGGTGAGCTTGTCGTCCAGGGGAGCTGTCACCAACTCCGTCGTTCCGTCTTTACGCTTCCACACAATGAAGAAGTTGCTACCTCCCGCTTCCGTGACCTGTCCGTTCTCTCCGTAGAGCCACAAAATCTGCTGAAATCCTTGAGAAGAGGCTTCTCTTGTTGCCACCACCGTAGGGCCATAGTTGGCGCCGACCTTGCAGTACCCAAACCCACCGACCCAAGCTCGAACATCGGTTTCTGGATTGGTGTATAGCCGCAAACCCCCTTCGATTGTATCCAATCGAGCCATGAATGAGACAATGATATACATCAAGGCTTTCTTAGGGGCTTGAACGCCGAGGTTGGCATGCGTCCCAATCAGAGTAGGGCGCACATACAAGAAGCTGCCAGGCCGGTCTTTCGGAAGCCATCGATCTCCGTCGACTGAGAGGAGAGCCATGATAAGCTTCTTGACCTCCGACGGCTCAAAATCCGGGAGCGCCATGCGCTGCGCAGAGACGCGGAAACGAGCAGCATTGCGCTCTAGACGGAATACGCGTAACTTTCCATCGAAGCCACGGTATACTTTGAGTCCTTCGAAGCACTCCGTTGAGTAGTGTAAGACTGACGCTGTAGGCAAAAGGCTCAGAGGGCCAAAGGGTTTGAGTTCGGGAGTATCCCATCCTGTGGACGCCTTCCATTGTACAGTAATCATATGATCTGTGCATACGGTTTCCTCTGCCGCATTCGCCGTTGCTTCGTCTGGAACGGGCCTCGGCGTAGTCGTGTAGTCATAAGTCAAGGATGAAGCATCAAGCCCATTAGAGCAGATTTTCTGTTGAGATATTCCATTTTGCCCACGGATGGGAAGCGTGACTTCTGCAGATGGTGACATGGGGACCTGAGGTGGAATGGGTAGAAAAGATAAACAAGGAAGAACTATTCCAACACGGCGCCTTTAGTAGAAGTCGAGATTCTGAGGTGAAGGCTAATTTTCTTCATAACAGAACCCCAAACAATAAGTATAAGTAGCAGCATGACTCTTCAAGTTCACAGTTGGGCATTTGTAATCATCGTCCATAGTGGGAACGCGGGTTGCTTCGGCAGGGTCATCTATGACTCACTGCTGTTATCGCTGCATCCATGGAGGCTACTTTACACAAGTCCCTTACAAAATGGGTACGCAAGTCTTACTGCCGGGATCGTCCAAAGCTGACTACATGCGAAGGGCGTAGCCGCGAATGCGGGGAATCGCACCATGACCAAGCTAATCATGGCCGGGCGGTATCGGTAAACTGATAAAATGTCTTAGTCCTCAAACCACTACTCTTGCATATTGGACTCTCAGTTGAAGTTGCAGCTCCTTGCTGGTCTCGTCAGCGTTTCTTGAACACCGTTGCAGACGGTGTTGGGTTGGAAAAGCTTCAAGCATTGATTGGTCGACTGGCTCTTCAATGTCAAGTTTGTGACCTTGCCAACCTATTTATGATGGGACTCATGGCGATTGCGGGCATACAGGGAACATGAGAAAGCGACGTTCGGGTTTCAGGGCCAACAGTTCATTTCCCTCAACGACAATGTCAATGGCAGTCTTCATTCGCCAATGGAACGTTGATCGGACAACAATTGCGGATCCGATGTGCTGACCCACCAGACCGCTGTTCAGCAACATTCCTACGACACAATCGCTCCGTCAAGAGCCATTCAATAGGCAATAGTATAGATTTGCGACACAAAACAAACAAAAGTGTCAGTCAGATCGATATTATGTCCAAGAATTCACTCCGCTAGGCCCCGATGTCGGAATTCTTCAAGCATATCCGTGAACTCCTGCAAGCCGTGTTTCTCACTCATGTTTTTGAAGTATGGCAACTGCTTTTTGAGCCACTGATTTTCATGTCCTGCCTCTGGGATAGCCATGCCACCCTCACGGACTGCCAACATTGGCGTGAACACCACCATCAAAAGGCTCTTATTTATGTCCCGTGCCCCCTTCTCCGAACCATGTGATTTGTCTTGAACAGCTTCGTCCCATGCATCCTCAATGTCAGCTGCAAGCTTGTCCCAATCTGCCTTAGTGCGATTTGGAGATGTACGGACAACAGCAACAACCCGGTTAGAGTTCGATGAATGAGGCTTGCCGGCCATGAAGTAGGTATCCTCCGCCGGTGCGTCTTCTTGTTTGATAAAGTTCACGTGCACGAAAAAAGACGGGGTATTGAACGCTTTGCAATGCAAGTTGGTGATTGATGTAGCGATTGCCTGACGCTGGTGCCCTGCCAGTGGGTACGTGTGGTAAACCTGATAAAATGGCATGATAATAATAGTCGCTATCGATGTTATCGAGGTGAAAGTTATTACTGAAAGTGAAACTGGACATCCGGACGGAAATGCAATTTTAAATAGGAAGCGTAATCAATTATATTCACTTCACTATAGACCGCCTTTAGACGCCTAGGCTGATCAGTAATCGTCAAGTAGATGAGTATACCATAAGTCAGTGTTGAACGACGTCACTAGGTGACATGTGCGGGGTACACAATTAACTTCCCAGTCCGACATGCTTGACGCTCATGTACACCGTAATGAACAACACAAATAATTGAACTTGAGAAGTACATGGATTGCAATGTGCATGTGACATCCAACAGCTGGTTCAGCTTGAGTGAATATGCACAATGGAGGGGGTTGTTGACTATACATGCCTATAGAGTCTACGGATATAGCCTTGAGCCCGCTGCGACTGCTCGGAGAACACCATTTGCCTCAAGATCTTGGACAAGACTTGCCAAGTGGTAGTCGCATCCCCTCGCCATCCTCAATGCCATCGTGACAGGGAGATATTCAGTATGCATGGACTTGGTGCTGTTGTATGGAACTTCGCCGATTGGAACGACAACTTCCGGAGCCCCTGTCATGACTGGAACTGACGAGTCGTCAAATCCAAGCGGCGGTGTAGTCCGGGCTTGAAAATATTGGTCGCGGTACGAAGGCTCGCCGATGGACCAAGGGTATATGTAAAGCCCCTCAGAGCAAGTCTTTGCATCCTTTCTGCCATAGCCCTCGGTCTCGTACCAGCTCTTGAAGATGGAGATATTGCGGAGGGCTTGTGCGTAGATACCATCGGTTGCATAAAGCTGACCCCATTGCCATCTTGCCAGGGGGCCTGGGTTGATGTATGGCTGTCTTCCATCATACCTGGCCGCATAATCTTTGAAGAAAGGTTGCCCATGCAGTTGCCACTGGTCGTGAGAGATGAAAACCCCGTAAGTCAGATAAAGCATCTCGTTGACGTCTGTAATCAAGTTGCTGTGCGTCTCCATCCAAAGTTGAGTGTAATTGGCAGGTGTCGACTGAACTTGAAGAAATTGCTCAAGCTTTCGAACAAAAGATTCGATCACTTTAGCGGCTCCTTCGCTGGACCCTCCAGACCAGGCCCCTCCCTCCACTGTGGAACGATAGATCTTCTTTGGGTACGCGGAGTAGTTAGACGCAAAGTCCGGGTACCAAGCTTGGGTCACCTTGGCCCATAGACTACCGCTTCGTGCAAACATCCCGGCGGTGTCTGAGACGGGGCTCAACGGGATGACATGTTCCAGCGAAATGGCTCCTGTCGAGGGCCTATTTCCAAAGATTCCTTGTTGTCCTGCCGGACCACGCATCGAGCCACCGGTATCACTGCCAACAGCCAAATCTAGCCATTCGTACGCCGCAATACCAGCACCAGGGCCAGTAGATGAGCCGCTGGGATCTTGGTATCCGTCGCCACGTGGGTTGAACGGTGCGTGCAAGTCGACCCAGTCAGCTGTCGGACGGTCGCCATTGGCGAACTGAACTGTGCCCATCTTCCCTACGAGGACCGCTCCAAGATCAATCAACCGTTGGATAGATGGGGCTGTCTGGTTCTGTCGCTCATATAGGTAGAAGTAGGCCCTGTTTCCTCCACTTGTGGCGACACCCTTGACGTGAAAGATGTCCTTCACACCGAAGCGGAGGCCGGCAAGTGGCTTTTCCTGAGACGCAGTGTAGTGAAGCCGGGAGGGCACCGCAATGCTCTTCGCCATGACATTTTCAGTGACCGCCGGAAGCGAGGTAAAACCTCCTGCCTCGTCACTAACAACTCCTTGGACAAAAGCCAAGTTGTCGTCGTCGTACAGCCGATACGCCTTGTAAATGTTCCCGCTATGAACCGAGATGAAGTATGGACCCTTGGGCAGGTCGAGGCTCGCACTGAACGTCTCGACACTTGAGGCAACCCCTTGAATCTGAGATGATGAAACCAGAATCGAAGTTCCCAATTTTTGAAGGCAGTCAGAAAGCTCCGAACCGTCAATGGTCATGTTGTCCGCTATATTGAGACGAAGGTACAGCGTTTGGAGAAAAGCTGGCTGAAAAACATCGTCCGAGGTCTCGTAGGTCGTTGTAGTATTCAAAAGCTCATCTATCGACAGCGCATAATTTGAGAGCTCTAGAACAGTCATAGGCAATAAATCGGCGTATTCTGTCGTGGTATTCCGGAGAAGGTCGGTTCGCAGGTGGCCAACGGGAACTCCTCCGGAATAATAATGGACACCGTTGATCCGGATAAGGCGGCCTTGGTCCACGTGGGCCGTAAGAGCCAGTGAAGCTAAAGCGAGAGCAGGCACAAACCACATGTTGTCGCAGGTGACTCGATGAATATGTGACATTCGAATGAAGCACGCAGATCACATAGCTTTCAGTCAATTTGTATTTAAACACATGCAACTTGGCACCGTTTGCCGTTGTCAAATTTCCGTGTGTCAATCATCGAGAATGCGTTAGTGTGACACGGGCTGTCAGATGAGATATGGCCGATAGACTTGCAGCTTGTGTCGGACTCGCCTAGTCCGCGTACATATTTTTGATCGGTGTCTTCGAGCCGATAGCGGCCTCACGACCCACGGAGCCGGATCCGAATCCCTGGCCCCCAACGGAGGTAACGGGGTTTAGCTCATCCGGATTGGTTATCGGAACGGGATGCCTGCGAACCAAGACCCCAATGTCAGCAAGCTACGTTGGCGCCAGCCCAGCGGCCCACTTAGCAATATCCTTATCTTGCGCCGGAAGCCAGCGCGATGCAAGATAGTGAGGTTGGATACTCGTGATAAGACCGAGTGAACATCGTATCAGACAAGAGACTGCGAAGTTGAGGTTCTTGAAGTACAAGGTGCAAGATATTGACCATCTGGCCTTTCTTATGATAATTTCCCTTGCCACGAAGACTGCAGTTCGTGATAAGCATTTATGGTCCGACAACGCTTGACGCCAAGCCAACACATTCACATTCGTCCCCCTTGGGAGACAACCATATGCCAAGCGAAATCGCGCCTCTTGGCGATAATCCACTCCCCGCAGCTGGCGGCTGTTGCCCCGCGGCTATGTACTTGGCAAATCGTGACATAGGTGAACCCTTGTTGAATAGCAGTGACTTCGAAACTGTTGCGCAAACATGCGGAGAGTAGAGATTAGGATGAGAACGAGACAAGACAATTTTGTCGTGCAGCTTTGCCCGACTTGACTCGATTCGCTTAGACATTCATCAATATGTAATCATCGTCGGGCTTGATGCACCACCTCGAGAGTCGAGAGGCCCATTCTTCGCCCACTTTCCGATTGTACGAGTAAGTCATGTGGACCGAATTACTTTGCGAAGACAGTGAACAAGATTATCTCACTATACAAGCTTGACGAAGGCAGGAAAAACTCTCGCAGGACCGTCTGAAACAACCGGTACTAGGTTCACTGTGTGGCCATTTTTACAGAAAGAACTTGTGCAGGGATTGGATGCTATTAAAACGCCGTGGTAGCTTTCAGGTGAAGTCAGAGTGCATGCATGCAATCAAAACCCTTCTTCGGTTAGTTGACCTTAAGACTCATGACTGAGGACAACAGACAAAGACTTCGAGAGTATGTTAGTGTTGTTTCAAAGAGCTCAGTGAGCGCTGCCAACAGATATTACAGTAGTAATGTCGCTTGGGGCGGATAGCGGCACTCAAATCACGAGACCAAAGTTTGATATATTGCTGACACTAATGTTGGGCAGTTTATCCGTGCCTTAAAAGGAATCATTTATGGTTACCCGTTAGACTGATCCCCCAATTTTAGCATTCAGCTCAGACCATAATGCGCCATCCCACGCGGGCCTTAATGCGACCCAAATGCGTGTATTAGACATTGAGGCTCAACAACCAAAGAACAGCGTTTATCTACTGAGTATTTCAAACCATTCTCGATCGAATTCGTCCATCGTCTGATTTCTGACAAGAGACGGGAGCTGCCTTGGCGGAGCCATCCAGGAAAGGGGCGATCGACCACAGCACCACTTCGGATGGCGTCCCACCAATCGCGAATTTTCCGCAGCGCATGCCGTGTCATGAAACCCCACGACTTTCCATGTTGGTTCATCTCAAGCAAAACGTCAGTTCAGAACAATCTCGCTTGAATCGACTGAGGGAATGGGGCATTCAATGTGGGGATCAAGGGATGACGGAGCGCTCCGTTGGTATTGGTGGTGGAATTACTGCGGCGTCTATTTACGTTTCAGAAGCAACAAATTGATTAAAATCCGAGCGCCGGATTGATTGGTGGATCAACCCGCAAACGCCTCCTTTCGGAACAAAAGTGCGTCAACCCTGTTGAGACAGCGTCAGGGGTCATCGATGGCTAGACCCAATTTCAGCTAAACACATCGCGCCTGTTCGGCAGTGGTCCTTGGCAGAATCTGCGCCGTGTAGATGGTATGACGACGAAATAGAGTCGATAAAATGCGCTGATATAGCAGACATTTTGCGTTAGAGTCAAGACTGAGTTACGGGTACAGCCTACAGACGTGCTCTTTTCCGCACTCTCCAGGCGTCAACCCTGAGTAATAGCTTACATGACCCATCAAACAACCCGGATATCCATTCCGCCCGCCAATCTCAGGACTTGACAACAGCCGATGTCATTTTCCGGCTAGTTCGGCGAAGATCACCACTCACTCCAGTGCAAGCGCCCAAGCGAGATGCAACCTCCTTTCCAGAACAGTTGTATTCCCGGATCCATCATGAACCCGCCGTGACAAACCCACAAAAACCATTATGATTGAAACAAGATGGATCCGAACTCGCGGGTACGGCTTTCCACCTTCGTTGATGCCCTCGTATAGGGCGTAGCGCCAGCTCGAAGGCGTGTGACCTTTTCGGATTCGGCCAGCGGGACATGCCTGACTGGGTTGGAGGCAAAGAATTATAAAGAACGCGATCCTCTCGCCAAGTTCGGGGTTCTTCTCTTGGCCAACAACTTCAGCAATCAACTTCAATCGCTAGTCGATCTTTTCTATTCATTCAACTGCCACTCTTTAAATCACTACCAAATTCAGTCTCTACCAACTACCAACACACACAATGCCTTCCACCAGCCAGATCGTCTCCGCCCTTGCCGTCACGGCCGTTGCCGGCGTCCAGGCCGCTATGGGCCCTGCCTTCAGCACCGGACCCGTCTCCTCCGACTCTTGGATTCGCGAGGCCACCTCTACTCTCGTCCTTCCCGCCGCCCCTGCCAACAACAAAGGTGACGCCTCTCTCTGGGTTGGCATGGGTACCTCCAACGGTGACCTGATCCAGTCCATTGCCGAGAACTGGAACTCCAACAAGTGGTCCGCCTACGCCTACACCCTGATGTCCACCGGTGCCAACTCTCAGATGCCCGTCCAGACTGAGGGCACCGACGCCGCCGAGGGTGACAAGATCACCATGCACTGTAAGTTGCGCTGCTTGCCATGCTTCGACTATGCAGTTCGTTAACATATCTCCCACAGACAAGTACGACGATGCCTCTGGCAACTACACCCAGACCGTCTCCCTGAACGACAAGGTCATCTCCACCCTGTCCACCAAGGACGGCCACGCCCAGGGCTGGGGCTCCGCCGTTGAGTGCGCCGAGGAGGACTGCGGCACCATCGGTGCTCACTCTTGGATCAACACCAAGATCATCCTCGACAAGGCCGACGCCAACTACATCAACACCATGGGCAAGGGCCAGGGTGTCACCGGCGACATGAGCACCAGCGACGGCGGCAAGACCTGGGTCGTCACTACCATCGAGATCCCCGAGTTCACCTTCGGCCAGTAAGCGGTTCCGAGCACGCAGGTTGAGCCTGGCTTAGTTGAGGGGTGGCACTTTTTCTTCCATTGTACCTATTATGTCTGGACATAGCGTGCATTTTATACATACCACTGGGCAAGACAGAACAGTCCTTGTACCAAAAGCTGTAAAATACCAAAATATTTGATTGTTCAACTTCTGTGTCTATGCGTGCCATCAGTGACCGGTGTTGTTCGGATCTATACGAAATCCAACTCAATCTCTGTCTATCACTGGGCAGGTGAAGTCTGTCGGTTTAGACTACTTTCCTTCATCTTCCTGGAAGCCTCGATCTTTGAAGTGCCATCAGCTATCTCTTCCACGCCCTCAATGACAGTTGCATTCAGCTTCTCGGCACCCGATTCGAAGTGCACGACTCCCTCAAATAAGGCGTCGATTTCCTCGAGAGTTTTTCCTATTTGAGTCAGTTCTCAGCTTGCCACTGACCTCACCAAGACAAATCCAGTCTAATCGTACAGGAGCGCACATACCTTTGGTTTCAACGAAGAGCCACCATATTATCGCGAGAATCCCTAGGTTCCAGGCTGCGTTGGTCGCGTAGAAACGCCAACCCATTTTCTCGAGCGCAACAGGAAGTATGTAGGTCATCATGACGCAGAAGGCAAATCCTGTCGCTTGCGCCAGGGCAAAGCCCTTCGCTCGCTGACCAAACCGGAGAATCCGTGGCGGATAGGTGTAGTTGAGAATCATCCAAGAGCTGAAGGAAACGAAGTGGAAGATGAAAATGATGACCACAGCCCCAATTCCAAAGCTTGATTGCTTTTGAGGGTTGGCAATCCCCAAGGCGCCGAGGAGCGCCAACATAGCCAGGCAGAGTGTCATGATAGCGGTGTTCGCAAGCAAGAATCGCTTGGCGCCAACATACTCGGAGAACCACACGCCAAAGGCAACGGCGAAACAGCCCCAAATGCACAAACCAAGGTTGACGAGAAGTGTTGTCCGTGCTTCTACGATTCTGGCAGATTGTACGACCAGAGTCAAGAAGTACGGGAAAGTGTTTGAGCCGGAGATTTGGAAAAAGATGTTCGTCAATACCACAATAGCGAAACGGCGACGATCGGATGCTGTTTTGACCAAAGCTCCCCAACTGCTTGCGCCTGATTCTTCAGACTGCTTTTCGAAGTGGATTGTCTGGAGCATCTGTTGATATTCAGCCTCCACGATTACGTCCCGTTCCGCACTTGGCGGGTGCATTCGCAAAAGTACTTCAAGGGCCTCGTCATTTCGATTCTGGTCGATCAGCCAACGAGGAGACTCCGGTACAAACGCTAACCCAATGATGGCCAGTATCGGGCCACCAAGCTCTCCCAGAATTGCACCTCGCCATGCCCAGTCCGAGCCGGCGAGGTAAACTCCAAATATTGCAGCTCCGCTAATAGTTCCAAAGACTGGCATGGCGAGGCTGATGTAATTCGTCAACAAACCATGCCAGCGGCCTGGAGTGGATTCGGCAACCAACGAGGGTCCTGCAACGCTATTAATGATGAAGGCCATTCCAAGAATGAGGCGACCGGCTAGAAGTGTAGGTTCTGCGAGTGTATTAGTTCCAAGACTTGAATAATACAACATATTCTCACCATTCTTTGCGAGAGCTTGGGTTATTACCGCCACAACAGCGATGCTGTTGCCTACGGCAAGGGACTTCTTGCGACCCACCCAGTCTACCAAGACCCCAGCGATAGGGCCCGCGAGGAAGCTTCCTACATTCACGATGGCGACATTCAACCCGATGTATGTTGCATTCAGTCGGAAGTCTCCATTTTAGTATCCCGCACTTTTACCAGCATTGTTCACAACGAAAATTTCCCAATCTTATTCGCAACATCTAAGAGACGAAGGCCACCAACTTCAAGGTCACCGACGATGCATCATGCAGTCGCTTGCCTGCGAAGAGTGTAGGAAGCGGAAGGCGAGTTTCAGTCTGAGCACGCTGGTGCAGCTGTAGCTGGCGATTTTTGCTGATCCCACTTAGGTTCGTTGTACGGGAAATACGCCATGTTCAACGTGTGAGAGACTCGGCACCAAGTGCCACTTTGAACTAAATAGACGAAAACGCGGTCCCCGTCCAAAACATGCCCAATTCGACCAGGACAAGAACGTTTCTACATCTGGCCCACGCAGCATCTCCACATTACTAGAGACGTCAACTAGAAGACTTCCTCGAGTATTGGAAAGCTCCCCGCTAGTTGGTTCCGGCGCTACGAGATCGCAGTTGAGTTGTGGTCATGCCCATAATTGGCGAGCAGGATTAATCAAAACCATGGGACAAGAGAAGTACCTTGTCAAAGGGTCAGTACCCTAAAGAATTTGATTCACTGCTCTCGCTGTGTTGACACTTCGTGGAAGCGCAAGTATATCCGCTGACGAAACAATGCATTTGGTCTTGACCTTCTTCGCTACAGTCAATCGCCAGGAATGTCCACTCTTGCCCTTCTGCTACTTCCTATCGCTCCTAGAAAGCGGTCAAGCAACACGTCACCTCTGTCACGCCATGTGCGCGGCAAGTGTTCCCTTCTCGAGACAAAGCGTGAGATCAGCTCCATTCGATTGTGAGGTCTTCGCGTCAGATGCACGAGAATGCCTCAGTTCAGGCCATGAAAACACCCTTCAGTTGAAGTTTCAGCGAATCCTGAGTCTCGGCGTTTTGTCAGTGTTCGAGACATACCAAGGGCGTGGACTGCAAGCTTGGTATGATATAAGTGAGATCAGTCTTCGTTGTTCGATGATGTTTGATTTGAAGTCGCCTTGAGCTGACTGGTCGATATAGCAGCGATGGCAGCGGCATCCATACCTCCACTGCGACAATCTCTCACCAAGGTTGACGAGGAAATATCACAAATATTGGACAGAATAGACGGTTATCTCAAAGTCGCCAGCGCTTTTCAATCGATCGGCCATATTATTGAACCTTTTGGGACTTGCTCCTTCAAGTGGCCAGTTCTAATCGACGCCGAAGACCACGAATCCGCGAATACTTTGATACCCTCTATGCTACTCCCTCAGCTTGCTCAACTGCTCCTTCGATGTGTTGCGCTGGCACGGGAGGACATGACGCAGATGAAACCTGCGCCCTGGTCTATCGATTCAAGCTTCATGGCTCTGAAGCGTGACTTGGATGCTCTCTACGCGCTTCATGCCGGAGATCTGGCTTTAACACAAGAGACCGTGTGCTCGGTACTGCATGATGAGCAGCATACTGGAGAGCGCCTCACCACTCTTACCATGTCCTACGGAGCCCGAATCCTACTTAATAGAGTCTTCTTGCCGGTCGGTGTGGTGCCATGGGACCACGCTGGCACAGCGGAGTGCCGTGAAAGGACGGCGTCTAAGGACCAAACAAACCACCGCCACACCAGGAAAGAAATTGTATTCCCTTCCGCTCCCGAAGCCTTTCGGAAGGAACGGTCTGTTGCATGCATGGATGGCGCTCGCCGTGCCACGCTTTTATGTCGGAAGATTCTGGAACTTGACATGTGCTCAGTGCGTTCTACTCGATCATTCTTGATTCTCTTCGACTTGACATCTCAACTAACTGAATCCAGCCTCCATTCCTCGGGTATATCCTCTTCCTCGCAGGAAGTGTATTTTTAAGTCAGCTTCGCGCTGAGAATGACCACGCTCGCCGCAACGAATCTGTCAACCATCTGAAAGTAGTATTCACTGTCCTGGGTACCATGAGAACATTCTTCAGCCCGGCTCATTTGTGGATTGACACTCTGTTTCGTATACACGCACTCCGTCCTCTACATGAATCATCTTTGCCCTCAGGCTCTTCGGTCCACCTCTTCAGTAGCTTCTTCGCACGATTCCAGGGCCTTTCCGAACCACCATTTTGCCCTATGGACCCAGCGGCTATTTCAATGATCAAATCTCAACCTACGAACGCATCTAAGCTATATGATGAAAATCAGCAAAGCAGGAAAGATGTGTCCGTTGCAGGAGGGGGCCTTGACGAAAAACGAGGTCGAATGTCGGAAACCGCTCCAGGGAAAAAAGGAGCATCTTCGCAACCCTCTCCCTTGGATGACTACGCACGAGCAATCGGGAACGTAGTTGATGATTTGGATAAAGACGAGGCCAGCATAATTTGCGTTCGCAGCTCTACGACTGAATTTGATTACATGCAGTCACTTGTCATGTTGGCAGATCCGGCTCCCGGCAAATCGACATCACAGGCAAGCCTGTCGTCACGGCATGAACGCGTGTCTCATCGAACGGAACCACACTCACAAAACATCCCGGCCATCGCGGCGGACAACCAGTTGCAACAGGCTTCTTGCGAAGCTTCCGGTGGGCATCAACTGACAGCAGAGGAGTTTGATGCGATGATCGACGAAGCCTTGTTCCCAAGCTTTGATGATACTGTTGTTAACGACGCCATAGACCGTGATCTTGGCCCTGGGGATGGACCTACTCTACTATCGAATCAATGTCCACAGACTTATGATGCGACCGCAACAGTCCGGTCTCCACTTTCTGCGTTTCTAACGGATCTTTCAAACGAGGGAGGTCCTGGCTGGGAATTCTCACTTTTACAATCATCTCCTATTCATAATAGGTGATGAGAGTGGCGCATTGAACTTGCTCGGTCTTTTTTTTTTCCCCATTTAGTTGCTAGGTTCCTGTTATTCCCTATGATCTTGGATACAAATTCTCCAGTCCAACTCTCCATACCTTGGTAGGCACTTATAGTTCCGCTGCCGTCCCTTCCCTAAGTCGTAACACATAGTATCAAATATATGATAATCACGGCCAACCACGGGTCGAAATGTTGTTGTTTGTTGAAAGACGAGGCGCTCGAATTCGTGACAAAAACCCGCTCGTTCACCATTGCGAGTCCTTATCTTTTCAACGGTTCCTATAATTGGTGAGAACAGGTCATGCTTCTGATACGGGGTTGCGTACCTTATGTGCATTCCTTGGAGCAGCTGATGTGGGGGAAGGCGGCATCGTCGCAGCAAACCTTTGCCCCAAAGGGGAATTTGCTGCTCACCCGCGCATTCTGGCATCCGTTGTTGTCGTTGAGGCAAGCATAGCGGCCGCTGTCTGACGCGACGCATTTCTTGCAGTCGGCTGACACAAGAGAGACACTCAAGAGAGCGCAGAAGAAGGTGATGAGACGCATTTCGGATGTTGGGGTTGAAAGCAGCTAAAAAGAGCGTGAAGATGATAGCTCAATACTGCAAGCTAAGGGCGAAATCTATTTCGTTTTTATATCCATTTGCATTGGCCCAAGAATTCATTCTTGATAGCCATCCATGTGGTACGGACACTTCCTCATTACTTAAAGAGGGCAGGGGTAAGTCATGTGGTGATAATGCTGTTACTAGAGGGCTGATCGATCTCGGGGGATCACCCATGGGCAAATAAGGTTCAGTGGTGCATCGTCCGAACCGGCAAGTAGTACACTTTCGCCCTGACAACTCCCTCATAAGGCCTTTGCTCGTCTATTCCTCACATTACTCGTGAATCTCGTCTAGTGCGTCTATGGGATCTGGTAGTGATCAAGTCTGCGCGTCTAGTTTTCCGTCGCATCGCTCAACATCGTGTAGTGCACCGCCGTATCAAAAGTAACGAATAATTGTTAGCTAGGTTCCTAAGTACGAATCTTCATGAGGCCTCGGGACCTCAGAACTCATGATGAGTATTCTTGATGCAAAAGTCCAACGCTCTTAGGTGCAGCCTCATTCAGACTGATCGTCGGCATGGTGACGTCGCCGAGATGAGGAGCTGAGGTAGGTAATATAAGTTATGAAACTTACAAGAAATGCGCCCTACGGTTCAGTAAACGTGGTTGAGTCGTGCCACACAGAACAATGGAATAGGGACGATCTGTGGTTTAGCTGAAAAGCTTGACTAGTGATAATGGACATCTGCCCTTCCTGGGGTCCGGGGTTCAATCAACCTGTGACGTTCCGAGGCTTAGCTTAAAATTAAGCCTTATGAACGAGTGCTGGCTTGTTATGTGTATCTATAAAAAAGTCTTGCTCGACGATGAACTGAGCATTACCAAAGCGTCTGCTGTATGGTGTAGTAACCGGTTGCTCTGTTCCCTGAGTATCAACGAGATTCAATATCATCAAGACAAAACAAGAGATCTTCATGATATTTGGGTTACTCGACCAGGCCGGAAATTCTCAGTTCGTCGCCTGAGGAGTGGACCAGAGGCGAGCACCGCCATATTGGGTTTCCGCTGGCCAAAGCGCGAGCGGAGCTGTCCGGAGCGTTCCTCGAGTTCAGCCAGAATGACTCGTCCCATGTTTAAAAACAGTACGCAGTAGGGCGCAGCGGAATTACTGCAGAGAGCGTAGATGTCTATCATGTCAAAGGCCGGCGGTGACTTTCTGGGACAGAAGTTGGTCCGTCCGGCCCAGAATTTTCCCAATTAGTATCAAGATGGCAATTGACGTGAACATGCAAATCCCACGACCCGGGTACTCGGCACGCCTTGTGACATACAGGACAAGGAAGTAACAGTTTTCTTCCTGGGACTCAGGCCCCCGCAGCAGTCGGGACGAACTCTCGCTGCTACGGTGCCATCACGGGGCCCAGCCGACGTCGGCAACATAGTCCGACCGATTCATCTTGGTATGAGCAGACTACTTGTGCCTTGGTGGACGATACTCCGTCCCAAGAAAGAATCAAGCTTTGTATGTGACTGTTTACGAGCTTCCAGTTCCTCCATTTCCAGCCTGTCCTTCTCCCGTTCCACTTGTCTATTCCTTTCATTTCAGGAAACCTTTGAGCGTTAATTCTAAAGGAAGGCATACATCAGCTGCATTTCCGAGCTACGCTACTAAGGTACCAGGACCACGGCTACACCTTATTCAGGCCCCTTGTTTCAGCCTTTAGCCGACGGCGAGGCGTCCACTCGTGATACAATAAGGCCCCCCATTCGGCCCATGAGCGAAAGGGACGGAAAAGCCTTTTAATTATGGCCTTCTTACTCCTTACAACGACTCCGATCTCTTTCCATCTTCTAATCAGAAGTGGTACCGCAGCTATTATTATGCGGCCAGCGGAAGCTCTTGATTGGCTCTAGGGAAACGCCAGGTTCATAAAGCCTCAGCAGGACAGGACAGGACATGTGGCTAGACATTGTGTCGAAACGGTCTCATAAGCACGTTCACCGCCTTAGACTTTCGCAATCACATCTATTGCAGTGGAAAGGCTTGGTAACGGCAATGTGCAGTGACAATACACCATCCGCGGAATTCGACAGCATGCCTCTCTCGAAGGCACCACTGTGCCCCGTGACACGCAATCCAGCAGCTATTTTGATGAAGAAGACTCCATCTTCGAATGTTATAAAGCGATGTGATGAATACCAGCAAGGCAGGGGAGATGTCGTCGACATGAGAGGTGGACTTGACGACAGCCATCCAGAGTGCCTCACTTATCACAAGGTCCTCTGAGTCTAATGTTACAACATGCACGTATGCGAATTCATAGAACTCTGCCTTGACAGTACAAGAAAAGTTAGCCTCATGTCGGCTCGGAAAACATGTCTGACGGAATTGCCAATTGAGAGCGAGACTGCCCTCGACTCTTTACTTCAGCGACCAACGAATACTCGTATAGAGTGAGATTCAGATGCATCCGGGAAGGCACGAATTGAGATATTTGACGGCCAAAAGGGTGCATTTGAGACCTAGGTGTCATCCCATTAAAGACAAGGTTGTTCTGGTGTCACGCATTCGCCTCGCCCACAGAAAACGTCTGGTACATCAGCGATAGGCAAGAATGAAGAAAAGTCTCGTTCTCGTTAATATTCGTACTCGAATTCTTCATTCTGGAGCGAATTGTGTTCAATAATTTGGGCAAGAATAACGGCTGAGACCACGCCTTCCGGAAGTAGCAGAAAATGACATCGATGACGTAGCCAACCCCAGACCACCAACACCCAACCTTCCCTCACCTCATCCCTTTGACCATCACAACCTCACCTCTCAACATCTCGCCAATGCTCACCCGCTCACTCAGCATCCGACTCTTTACAACCAAGCACCTCCCGATCACCAACCCCCTCCGCAACCGCTTCTCGACCCTCCACCCCACCTCGCGCGGCAAAATGTCCTGGATGGACTCCTGGTCCCGGCCCTCCAAATCCCAGGCCACGCCCGCGCCCTTCTACCTCCTCCCAAACGGCGACCAGACGCCGTACTGCCGCACGTGCGGCCGCGTCATCTCCTCCCGCAAATCCACCTCCTCGAAGCCCGCCAACTCGGAGCCGCCAAAGTACTGCTCCGCGCGCTGCCGGGGCCAGAAGCCGGGCCGTCTCGACCGCGAGATCGAGGCGGCCTTTGTGCGCTTCCTGCAGGGCGACGAGCCCCTCGACACCAACGTCAAAAAGGTCAAGGGCGACACGCGGGTGCTTGTCCCGTGCGACGTGGTCGAGGGCAAGGTGTTTGGGGAAAGGAAGGATCCGGAGAAGGTGTTTGGGAGGAGGAAGAACCGCGCCTCGAGGGTGATTCCGGAGAAGGCGGAGGACGAGGGGGTGGACGTGGGCCATGAGAAGGAGGAGGAGGACCCCGGGGAGGAGATCATTGACGAGATGCTGGGGCGGACGCGGTCGAGCGAGCTTGATGTTGACCCGAGCGTGATGGCGAGCCTTTCGGTGCGCAGCGGGACGCGGGTGCGGCCGCCGCAGGAGAAGTCGCAAGTCAACGGGAGCGTGGGCGGGGAGAAGGGCAAGGCGGAGCGGATTGAGGAGACGGACGAGATGCGGGAGAAGAGGAACGAGGGGCAGAAGAAGGCACACGAGCGGGAGCTGGTGAGGTGCGCGGCGCGGCGGGGGGTTGTGTTTGGGTTCCTTGTCGGCGAGGAGAGGAGGAAGTGTGAGGCTGTCATGCAGGGCAAAGTGGTCGAACCGAGTTTCGCAAAAGGGGATTGGGCTGTACGCTGGCGCGAGGATTGAAGGGGGCTTCATCAAAAGTGAGTAAATAGCAAAAAGCTCTACGCTGTAATTTTATTTTCAACAAAAATGTTACAATCTCATGCAGGTGATGCTGTACTTTCTACACAGGTCATGATTTCTATCGTTACAGGAAGCTCGTGGCCAGGGTGATGGCTGTGGTGTACACCATGCCCACCAACCCGAGCGTCATGAGCGCAATGTCATAAATCTTCTCCTTCCTCGTCTCGGCGACGCCCTTCATGTGCAGGTACGGCGGGTAAATGTACACCAGCGGCACGCACGCAAAAGACCCGATGAGGGCGACGAAGCGGTCGAGGTTGGCAGAGCCGGCGATGGAGACGCCGATGCAGACGGCCACCAGGGCCGTGCGGAAGGCGTTCTTCTTCCACTTGGTGACGAGGTCCTTCTTGCCGGAGCGGTGGCCAAAGACCTTGCCCTCGATGATGCGCATGGCGGGGAACAGCTGGACGGGGTTGCCGACGAGGACGGCGAGGGCGTACATGAACTGCACGGCGTTGACGAGGCGCGAGTCCTGCGGGTAGTTGTTGATGACCTCGATCTGGGTGCGGTCGCCGAAGGTGGCGTAGCAGAGGGCGCCGACGGAGGTGAAGACGCAGGTGATGAGCAGCATGACGCCGGCGAGGAGCTTCTCAAAGTGCTCGGGCTTCTTCATGCTGGCCTGGATGGGGATGATGAGGCCGATGCCCTCGAAGGTGAAGATGGAGGCGCCGATGGTGAGGGTGTAGGAGGCCGGGTTGAAGAGGCGGACGGAGGGGTCCATGCCGCGGGTCGCGAGGGCGGAGATATCGTACCACCAGATGTAGCCGACGCCCATGACGATGAAGACGTCGGCGAGGAGAGCGGCGGGGCCGAGCTTGGAGATGTTGCGGATGAAAGCGAGCGGCACGAAGATGATGGCCTGCAGGGCGATGAGGGCGGTGGAGTCGAGGGGGTTCGCGCCGTTGGTGACGGCCTGCAGGAAGGAGAACCAGTTGTCGGCGACGAAGACCAGACCCGTGCAGACGAAGCCGAGCTGGGAGAGCGTGATGGAGGCCAAGATGAGGGAGCGCATGCGCGGGCCTGAGATCTCCTTGCCGAGGTCGCCGTAGCCGCCGCCGTAGCGGGTGCGGCACTGCAGCAGCAGGTGGAAGGCGGCCATGGAGATGACGGCGACGAGGAGCATGGTGATGGAGGAGAAGAGGATGCCGCCGTTCTTGAAGGCCTTGGGCAGGAACATGATGCCCGTGCCGATGAAGGCCTTTAACGTCGTGAAGAAGGTCTTTGTCGTGCTCGCGTCGCCGACCTTCTTGGCGAAGCGGGAGGACCGCCGGCGGCCGAGGAGCGGCCTCGTCTCTGTCGGCGCGGTGCGTCCTTGTTCCTCGTCCTCGTCGTCCGACATGATGGCCTCCTCGTCCGAGTCCGCGAGGTCCTCGCCGGCGAAGGCGCCGTAGAAGTCGAGGAACTCGACAAAGTTGCGGGTGATGGGCAGGTTCGCGGCGGTGAAGCCGCGCTTCTGCATGACGAACTGGCGGCGGAAGCCCTGGGGCATCAGCATGTCGGCGGCGGCGAGGTCGGACTCGTGGCCGGACTCGGTGCGGCGCGGGTGGGAGAAGGTCTGGGAGCGCTTGACGCCCTGTTCCCTGGCGGAGATCTTGTAGAGGTCGCGGTGGATGTCGCCGCCGGGGAGGAGGAGCGAGGAGACTTCTTGGGGTTCATCGGCGTCAAGGGCGTTGCCCTGGCTGTTGCCCTTGCTGCTGCCGTGGAGGCTCGGGGTCTTGAGCGGGTTGGAGTTTTGGCGGGTGAGGTCGAGGTTGGACATGGTTCGGGTGCCGTCGAAGGAGGTGCCGTAGCCGGCGGGGAGGTGTTCGGCGATGACGGCCGTCCGTAGACGTTCGTCCGCCGAGGAGGGTGATGTGTCGGACATGCTGGGCGGCGGCGGTGGTGGTGGTGATGCGTCGTGGTGGTGTTTTGGGAGACGCCGATGTTTATTTTCCGACGATGGAGTTGGCGGGGAGAAAGAATAATCGTCAATGACGAAGAAAGGAGCCCCGGGACTAACGAAGAGTCTCAATTGGAGGGGATGGGAGGAAGCGGGAAGAAGCCTCGGTTGAGGGGTGCTCGGCGAGGGTGACAGAGGTCAGGTCATGGAACCGTGGGCAATGGACATGGAAGAATCGTGGGGAGAGGAGGGAAGATGCTGAAAAGCTTCAAAGTTGTTTTTGAAGTTCGATTCGCTGCGGCATGACTTCACGAAAGCTCGAGCCGCTTGCAGGCCCTGGTTGTTTATGCGCGGGAAAACAAGATAGAAAGGTACTTGTGAAGAGGGTGTAGTGATGTGGATGGGAACAGGTCTCTTTGTATCGCGGGGGTGGGGGGGATACATTACATGCAATGCTGCTGCTACTCGTACATACTGACGGATAGAGCCAACCCACATGGGACATGGACGAATAGACGATGAGCAGAAGAGGGAACAACAGGAAGAGGCTCTCCGGTGGACTCTCTCTCCTCTCTCTCCTTCTCATCTGTGGGTGTACATACCTGCGCTGACTGTGTGCTAGAGGTACATGCATGGTGTGTGTGTGCGTGTGGACGGACGGTGGACTGCACAACAGAAGGCCGCAGCAGCTTCTAGGCCCAATGGCGTTACAACTCTACGTCAGTTCGCAGTGTTGGGCGGCCAAGTTTCGGATCGGCAGTGGAGGCACCCCCCCTGGTTTGCATGTCGTCCAGGCTGTTTAGCTGAGGTAATAGCGGTGAGGCTTAAGCCGAGGGGACCAGGGTGTGTCACCTTTAGACGGAGTGCCCAAGAGGAAGAGGAGCCCAAGAGGAAACCAAGAACGAGTCCGAGTGGAGGACGAGAGAGGACGGACTCGCGCCGGAGGGTGAAGGGGGGACATTGACTGCGGGCTAAGACTGGACGGGTACAACAAAAGCGAGACACAAGACACGGAAGACCAAGACAAGACATTGTCCCGTGACCAAAGTCAAGTCAGGTGTCGGGTCACGTCGTACATGTTGGGGGAGTCTCAGACAGTGTCTTTGGTGATGGGCAGAATATCCCGCGTCAATGTCGATGACCATGGCAATCTGGGCGGTTATGCGTCTCTCTCTCTCTCTCTCTCTCTCTCTCTCTCTCTCTTGCAGTCTCTTGAATTCATTATTACAGAGCACAGAGACTCTTTGCAAAGCCTGCATTTGTTAGCGCTTGCAAGGTTCGCACTCTCAGCGGGGAATGACGCCACCGCGGACCCTGAAAAGCGAAAAAGTGAAAACACCGGCCTCCCGCGCCTTGCAGAAGCGAAATTCACACGAGGGACCTAAATACGGGTCACGTGGTTGGGCCTCACCGATCGATGCGGTGGACTGAAAGTGAACCATGATAAATGATCGAATGGCCTGGGCAACGCGGTGCACGTGGGACCCCGACGGGAATAGCCTCACCTCAGCCTCCGGGTTTAAGCTCAAACTTTTACCTTTCTCCTCCTCCTCCCATCTTCTTGTCCTGCAGCAACAGCTGGGTTTCAGTGACAGTCATCACCCACAACCACGGGCTGCCCATGGACGTGCTGCCTGACTGGGCCCTTCTTCAGCGCCCGATGAATGTCTCACTCTCTCAGTCTAAGACTGCGTCGCGATCGTGTTTTGTTTTTGCCGAGACATCCACCAGCACCTCAGCTTGCTTTTTGGCCTTGTTCCGCTGGAATGCTCCTGTCTCGCGGAACACCGATCGGGACTCACCCCGGCTGTCGGTCCAGCCTTTAATCCTTCGTCACCCCTTTGCGAGCCTGGCTGCTTTCATCACGATTGCATCTCATCCCGCATTCCACGTCGCAGGCCCAGCCAGCGCATGAGCCCGCGAACAGCATGATAAGAACTGAAATTGCTTCTATTCGCGTTCTGTACTTCACGGAGTCTGGTAAAACAGTATGCGACATGGCCGGATGTGCTACAATCCTTTGTTCGGCGTCATCGTCTGGCCCTCATGGCTCAACAGATCCCCTCTCTCTCGACATCACTGGCACTGAGAGTACCCTTCAACACACGTCGTCAGCGATAGTATGAAATGGCACGAAAAGAGGACTCACAGTCGTTGACCTTGATGCAAGTGTACGGGCTCGCGCACTGCCAACTCATTAGTAAATGGCCCAACATCTGCATTGCCCTCTATCAACTCACAGAAGTCGCACCCGTCCAGTTGATGCCGCCGCATTGGCCCCATTGCGGTGCCGATCCGGACCCTCCGGCCGCCGTCGTCGTCGTCGATCTGGCCGTCGAAGTGGTGCTCGTCCGCAGCGTCGTCGTCGTCGGGCTTCCGGCCGTCGAGGTCACCGGGTTCTGCTCCATGTCAGGTCCATTCTCCCAACCTCCATGCCAGGAATCTTACCGTGAACCCAAACCACTTGAGGTCCTCCTCCGGGAACACGTCAATCGAGTGAGTGACGCCCTGTCCGAGAAAAGTCTGCCCGCCCGCCTCGAGTCAGCACCTGTTCACATACACACACTCACAATCCAGACTTACTTGCAACTTCTCCCCAAACACATATCTCGTGTACGGGCTCCGCGGGTAATCAGGCGTCGTCGACTGCGGCGTCGTCGAGTACCCAAACACGCCCGTCCACTGCTTGATCGTCTCGTAGTAGTTCTGCACATTCAGCGCCTCGTCCGCCGTGCCGTGGTAGATCTGAATCTTCGGCCGCGCGCCCGTGTAGCCCGGGTACATGTTGTACACCACGTTCGCCCACTGCTGCTGCGTCCAGATGCTCTGGCCCGTCGAGCACGTCGAGTTCCACTCGTCAGGCACGTCGGCCGCGCTCATGAAGCAGCCGGCCGGGACGCCCGCGTACGCGATTCCCGCGGCGAAGATGTCGGGGTACGTCGCGGCGAGCACATTCTAAATCCGGCGTCAGTTCCCACATCTAATGAAGCTATCCGCATCTCGCTCACTGTCATCATGGCACCCGATGAGATCCCCGTCGCAAACACTTTACTGGCGTCCGCTCCATACTGCGCAATCACGAATTTGACCATGTTCGCAATCGAGTTGCTCGCGCCACCACCGTTATGCGTCAGCGTCATCTTGGACGCCACGTCCCAGCAGTTGTCGCGCGTGTACGGCGTCTGCGGGTAGATGACGATGTAGCCGTAAGTCTCGGCGTACCGCGCCCACTGGCTGCCCTGGTAGTACGCCAACGCGCTGCCGCTGCACCAGTGGATGCCCACGACGACGGCCGGCTTGGCTGCGAGGTTGTTGGGCACGTAGAGCCACATGCGCGTGCCGGTCGGGTTGTCGCCGTAGGACGTCACCTCGGTGAAGGTCGCCCGCGGCACGACCTCCGCGCCGAGGGCGGCGCTGGTCAGGAAGGCCAGGCAGAGGCTGAGGAGGGCTAGCAGGTGCATCATCTTGGCGGCTTGGGTGGTTGAGGACCTGGGCTGCAAGGCATCATGGAATTTGCCCGTGATTTATCTTCTTTTGAGGAGGCGTTCATCCTTGGCGGAAGGGTTTATTTTGGCTTCAATGGGCGAAGCGGATGTGGAGCCTCCGTTTGGTGGCTTGGTCGCATGGCATCGATCGGATGTCGCTCCCGTCATATCGCCAAGGTCGTTCCATTGATTTCCTAATCGTGCTTCAATGTTCGAAGTTGGTACAGCAAGATCATCGCAACCATCCATCGCGCACGTGGCGTCCGCCTTGCCATGGGTCACAGAGCCGGCATACGGCCCTGATCTTCCACGGCCTCAAGAATGCGAAACCGAGATACGCCGCGTACCTACGCATATCACTCACTTCCCGGAACGAAGGTAATTTGGTTCACATCTGGATAGTTGAGAGGGGTAAAATGGTAGCATCTCCCCGCAGATGGCTACGAAAACCGAGGACCCCCGCCCCGGAGAACCCGTCCCGCGGAATCATGTTCCGCCAATCGCTTGACCGGAGACTGCCGTTCTTGGCTTGATGCAGCCAGGAACTTCCGCAGTCTTGCTGGTCGATTGATTAATGGTGTTGTATGGATGCAACCCCCGAAGAAGCTTATTGCTGATGAGTTCTTTTCCGGTTTGGGATAGCTGTTCGGTACCAAGTATTTACACGGGGCGCAACAAGTTACACAGATGGTGAGACGGCCCGGCATCACGTAGATTCTCATCGCGACGTGTTCTCATAGAATCTGACGCCTGTTGTAAAGATAGGGCCCTGTCTGCGTTTCTCACCCAACTCTCCAGGCTCAGACGAGCTTCCACTCCCAGCCCAGCGGCATTCGATATCTCTGCTTCAAGCCACATCTTTCCTCCGACGAATCAGAATCTTCGCCCTTGGGTTCACCAACGTCGAGAATCCGAAGCGCATGGGATCGACGGCGGTCATGTCGTCGTTCGGCAGCTTGAACTCATACTTGAGCAAGAAGTGTGCCATGACCAGCTTGGTCGTGCTCGCACCGAAGAAGCGGCCGGGACAGGCGTGAGCTCCCAAGCCAAAGCCCAGGTGCTCAGGAGACACGCTGGCTAGTTGCGCAATGTGCTCGTTGTTGCCGGCCTCGCGCATGCGCAGGAAGCGGTAGCCGTCGAACTTGTCGGGGTTGGGATAAATTTCCTGCAAGTCAATCAGTCAAGAGTCCGGGTCCGAAGTGAGATGGCGGTGTACTTACAGGATCCCACATGTTTGCGGAGGAAACTGCCACGCCCGTAGTCCGGGGAAGAACGCTGCCGTCGCTCAACTTGACGTTGTCTTCCATCACACGACGGCCTAGCGCGACTACCCAAGATGTCAGTATTGCTGCTCCAAAGCCATGCTCCTATCATGGAGACTTACCAGTCGCGATCGGCTTCAACCGCAGCGTCTCCTTCAACACACTATCCATCAACCTCAAGTTATACAGCGCAGAGCTCTTCCACCCCTCAGCCGCAACCTTCTTCACCTCCTCCCTCAACGGCTCAATCAACTCCTCATTCAAACACAAATCCAGAATATTCTGCGAAACCAGATCCGTGCTCGACGCGTTCGCCAAGATACTCAGCCCCAGCTGCTGATACGCCGCGTTCTGCGCCGTGCGGTCCTGCTGCTTCTTCGCCAGCTTCTCGATCCACGCGAGCGCGTTGCTGAACACCACGCCCTCGGCCTCCTGTTCGCGGCGCCGCTGCTGGATGGGCTCGATCGCGCGGCACGCCGTGCGCAGCATCTGCCGCAGCTCGCGGCAGCAAGGCAGGAACCAGTGCACGAGGCGCCGGATCGGCGACGGGTAGGAGCGCAGGACTTTGGCGGCCGCCATGGCTTTGCTGGGGTAGGTCATTGTGATGTTGAGCCAGCGCGGGTCGCGGCAGAGTTCTGGGCCGAGGAAGACGAGGGCGGAGACGCGGGCGACGATTTGAGGGATGGCTTGGGCGAGGGTTATTTCGTGCCATTCTAAGGGGCGTGAGTGAGTGCTTCTGGGGATCTGGGTTGGGAGAGATTACCTTCGTTGTCTGTGAAGACGTCGCGGAGCGCATCTGAAGCCTCTTCGGATAGTTGGCTGGAGAGCTTGGCTGTGAAGCACATCAGTAAGCTGGAGTGAAGTCCCACGGCAGATCGTCTCACAAATATCGGTTTGCGTGAGATGACTCCTGATCATCTCCCGGAGCAGTTCACTACCAGAACTAAAATATGGCTCGAACCCCGGGGTTCCGGCTTGCCAGTACTTGAGAATGGTCAGAAAGGTAGTGCCTGATGCTGTTCAAGTCCACTTACAGCCAACAAGAACTCCGTCGAGCTCAACCGATTATCATTCCGAACCTCCATGGCAAATTCGGGGGCCAGGATCGTCATCGTGCCCTGCCCGGTATACACCCGAAAGGGCTTCCCGCCGTGTTCCTTTGCTCCTCTCGCAAGAAGACCCTTTCCATCTTTTAGGTACTCTTCCTTGGTCTTGTTGATGACGGGATAGATCTCGGCAGACTGGAACGACTTGCGAAGTGGGGACACAGCAACCACAGAGGCGACAACGATGAGAGCAAGCCAGTAGAGCGCCGAATTCGATGTCGGCAGAGAAGTTGGCAATTTGAGAGAGGCCAACTCCGCCCAGCTGGGCGACGTCCACGAGGCGTTGACGTCCATGACGTTGAAAACAATTACGCCAAATTAAGAATAGCTTGGCAATGAATTTCTGCCCAGCCGACGAATGGAAGATATTTAAGAGGTCTGTCAGATCTACCGTCTTGGATATTTGCGACGCTTTTGCATTTCGGTCTGAACCAGCGGTATCCCGTCGGCAAGCAAGAACATCGCGAGAGACATAGTACCCAAAATCTACCATAGCTTTTCTGGCCAATGAAACCCTCCAAACGTAGTATAGACTCTCAGAAATTGGTAGCAGCTACATAGCCAACGCGCTCCAGTGGTGTTCAGGGAACACACATAGCTCGGTCCGAAGGCAAGCATCGACGAACCTTCGGACCGTTACTCAAAGTCGAGTGAGAGTGAGATAGGCGTCGTTATATAGTATATAGGAGGCACGACTCGCCCGAGTACGACGCCGTTGGTTCATGTCTTGCAACTCAATGCAGGCAATTTCCGCCTGCATTAGCCTCTCGAATCGCTGAGAGATCGAGCGGCGCACATGGACCGCTCCGTCCCGCCACTTACATGACCGGAGTCTCGCGGCCGGAGGAATCCCGGAGACGCCACCACGCCGGCGTCGGAGTTTCAGTCCGCTGCGAATACCACCTGCAGGCATCGGACTGGGTCGCCGACAGGAGACAAAAAAAGACGAGAATGGTGTCTTTTGTTTTGCCTACCAGGCGACAGCTGACCAGCTTTGCCCAAAGCAAATGACACTCTCAGCCTTCTCTTTTCTCCCGCGTATTCTACGGCTGCTGGCGATCTCCTGCTGGATTTGAGCATTGAGTCCACGTCCACCCCTGGCGCAACGGTCCGAAATAGGGACTTGCAAATTTGATGATCGACAGCTGCGCCGACTTGGCTTCGGACCGTGGTCCTAGTCCAGATGCCAAGCACGTGATTGGAGGCAGCTTTCCGAGTCATTTTGCGCGCGCCATGGGACAGTTCCGACCTTCTCGGAACCAATCCGGGAGCCCTTCACCATGAGGATGGATGAAAAAGGGTCGTGCAGCGGAACACTCCGCTAGTCATTGGGCATCGAGGAGCATAGTGCCCAGATTCTGGTTACAACACCACTGAGATATTATTGGACAGATGATACGGTACAGTGTCGGCGGGCAAGATCTTAACCGCTGTGCGGCCCTTATTCGGCAGGTTTGTAGGCTAGATGATTCTTCAAGCAGATTAAGGGGGCATTTCCACGATCTGCTACAACGTGAACACGCGTACGGTACAGATGCCATAAGCAAAGGATGCATTTTGTTTCCGTAGTTGACAGTTGGAGATCTTCAGGGACGGGTGCGACGTGGCAGGGATACCTCCTGTTGACGTTGAGTCGTTTTTTTGCCTGCGCGCGGGTCTTGTTGGTCATCCCATCGCCATGTGTTTTGACTCTCGAAACATCAAATTTTCCAAGTCCAAACAATCTGCGGATCGTCTGATCAAAATCGGGACTTCGAGACTGAGGCTCAAACTGGTTTCGACGCCACTTCGCTGCAATTGTTTCTTGATTACATGTTCAAAGGCATGTTTTGTCGGCGTCCTGGGTTGCCAAGACATCGACGAGTTTTACGCTTGCGATAGACGAAATTGCACCCGACTCCTCGTTCTCCAGTCTACTGCTACAGCTCTCCAGTAGACTACGACTACAGATCCTCTCTCACTAAGACGTAAAGACCTATACTCGGCGTTATTAGTGGTCCGATGGGGCGTCGACGTCGTTATCAATCTCCATCTAAACTCCTATCGCGTCAGCGCCTCCTATTCCCTCAGCCTGAGCCCACACCATCCAAACAAGCTTCATCTTCCGCTTTAGAGTCCAATCAGTCCATCTCCATGCCATGAACGGCCCAGATGCCCCCTTCAGAAGCTTCCGAGACTCTAGTAAATATCCAAGAACACCAAAATGCTTGCCTGCCGGGCGGGAGAAGATTCTTCCTCAGCGATGCGTCCCCCGGAAAGCCACCTTTTAGGGCCGCGCTTCTCCGCACTTCGCTATTGCCGATGCATGGTTCATCCCCCTCAAGTTTATTTTGTCGTGGGGAAAAAACAAAGCTAAGCTCAGCTGGGTCAATCGGGGGCTTGTCAGTCGTCAGGGCTCTGGTGGTGCACTTGATTCAGCATCCATGGCATGCCGGTGCCAAGTGCCGTCCCTCCACACCATAGCTACACCGGCATCTTCCCCCGATGGGATCGCCGAGGGAGGGCAGCTGTTTGGAAGGAGAACGACGTCGCATCGTGGTGCCGGGGCCGTTGAGATGAACACTTTGACGTCGTCAAATTTGCAAGGTCAGGTCCATTGCCGCGTTGCCCAGGTTGCATCTGCCAACATATAAGAACCGCCCCGGCCCCGACAAGAGACGATCGTCCTGGATGGATCTACTTGGCACCTGTCCTCCTCTCCAGCTCGGATTCTGTCCTGTTCAACAACACCCCTTCTCCGAGATGAAGTCGTTCACTACCTCGGCAGCGCTGCTGCTCCCGGCAGCCCAGGTCGCCATGGCCGCCTTCGCCGACGACTGCGCCAACTTCGCAAAGTCGTTCGCCTACGAGAACACCACCGTCTGGTTCACCAACGTCGAGCCCGCAGGCGCCAACCTGACCTTCCCCGAGCGCCACCCGACCTGCTCTGGCACCAGCCAGGTTGTCGATGTCGAGCTCTGCCGTGTCTCCATGCTGGTCACCACTGGCGCCACCAGCAACATCAGTCTCGAGGCCTGGCTCCCTTCCAACTGGACAGGCCGCTTCCTGAGCACCGGCAACGGAGGAACCGGCGGCTGCATCCAGTACGAGGACATGGCCTATGCCACCTCCCGCGGTTTCGCGACTGTTGGTGCGAACAACGGCCACAACGGAACCGTTGGCGAGCCTTTCTACAACAACCCCGGCGTCATCGAGGACTTTGCCTACCGCTCCCTTCACACCGGCGTCGTTGTCGGCAAGAACGTGACCAAGGCCTTTTACGGCAAGGAGCACACCAGATCTTACTACCTTGGATGCTCCACGGGTGGAAGACAGGGCTTCAAGGAGGCCCAGGACTTCCCTGATGACTTCGACGGTATCGTGGCTGGCGCCCCCGCCTTCTCCTTCAACAACCTCACCTCCTGGAGCGGCCACTTCCTCCTGGCCACCGGCACCGAGGGCTCTCCCACGTTCCTCTCCAAGGACCAGTGGGCTCTCGTTGTTAAGGACGTCTTGACCCAGTGCGACGGTCTCGACGGACACGTCGACGGCATCATCGAGGACCCCGACCTGTGCCAGTACCGCCCTGAGTCCCTCATCTGCGGCGCCGGCAACTCCACCAACTGCCTGACCGGCACCCAAGCCGAGACCGTCCGCTCCGTCTTCTCCGACGTCTACGGCGTCGACGGCTCCCTCGTCTACCCCCGCCTCCAGCCCGGCGCCGACGCGACCAACATCCTCCTCACCGGCACCGCCTTCCCCTACACCAGAGACTGGTTCCGTTACGTCGTCTACAACGACCCCAACTGGGACCCCGCCACCCTGACCGTCAAGGATATGGCCTACTCCTCCGACCTGAACCCCTTCGACATCGCCACCTGGAAGGGCGACCTCTCCGGCGTCAAGGACCGCGGCACCAAGATCCTGCACTACCACGGCCTCCAGGACCCCATCATCAGCAGCGACAACTCCGCCCGCTACTACAACCACGTCTCGCGCACCATGGGCCTCACCTCCGCGCAGCTCGACGAGTTCTACCGCTACTTCCGCATCTCGGGCATGAACCACTGCAGCGGCGGCCCCGGCGCGACCTTCATCGGCAACAAGCCTGCCGCTGTTGCGGGCTACGAGGCGGAGGGCAACGTGCTGTCTGCCATTGTTCACTGGGTTGAGGACGGCATCGCCCCCGAGTCGATCCTCGGGACCGCGTACGTTAACGGTACCAAGGATGCCGGCGTTGCGTTCACGAGGAAGCACTGCAAGTACCCTACTCGCAACGTCTACTCTGGCTCTGGAGACCCCAACATCCCTGAGAGCTGGAACTGCGTTTAAAGCTAATAAGCTTAATTACTTTTGCCTGTATACACTTTTCTACTGTACATATCAGCCATGCATTCAATGAAGCGTAAAGAAGTAATTATATGTACAAGAAATAACTCCTGAACCAAACAACTCGTTCATGAAGGCAACGTGCCGTGATGCCAGTGAGAATGGTGACTGCCTCGGCATTTCCGGTGATGGCGGAGGTCCCTTACCCCGGAAAATCCGGTGTTATGGTCCACGAAAGGGGGAACCAAGCGGGGGCTCATGTACCCCATATCTTGAGCGATTAAGACTGCCTGATTTATGAGGAAATTGCCTGCGCCGGTGTACTGAGCGCCGAATGCTCCGATAATGCGCGAGTTCTGGAAGTGGGACGCCCGATCGGAGGTCGGCCGGATCGTCGATCCGGCGCGAACTGGAGGATCATCGCCGGAGCCGTCCGGCCCAATGTACAGGGTGAAGGCCATCCGATCGGGCGCCCGGAGTCGTTTGAATGGCAAAGCGCTTGAATCACACGAAGTTCCCTGGTATTCACAGGGGTGCATCGAGAAATTCTTCCGGTAGCAAAGAGGCGGAAGACTCCGTCGGACCGTTCACCTCTCCTCCGAAGTCTGTGGAGTCTACCCATGAACCAAGATTGATAGCCAACAATAGGCTGTGAGAATGCAACGTAACCGGTGAGTTCAAGTCCTTGATGAGCGAATTTGGAACCTGGTTGGATACACGGGGCGATAGCGAGCGGGCTTCGCTTAGACAGGGCTGCAAATTAGGGGATATGATTGATCGTGCGAAATGCGTCTTGTCCCGCATCCCTGGCACAAGCGAGTTGCACAAGATTGGCGTACCGGTGAAGAATGGATACAATTACCAGTTATGCCGCTCCGGGGAAGACGGCTTTGAAACGGGGATGTAAACCCTTGTTGGTTGATATGGTCCGATGTATGTGCCCTTGAGGCGGTGGCCAAATTGGCATGCTGCTTCTTACATTATTGATATGCCGTTGGTCGTCTTCCAGGATTCTCCGAAGCTGCAGGTGGCTAGATATCCTTGTGTTTGCTGGACCTTTTGAATGTTTGTCTTTGTCCGACCCCTGCCAAGGTCCAACGATAATCTGTTGGTCCACGAACACAACCTTGTCGGAACGCACTCGCCTGCTGTTGGTGTTATCCACCTTCATGCGGGCATTCGTAACTAATGGTCACACATGTTCTATGATTGGACATGCCTGCAAGGGACTGGCGCATCAAATTTCGCCATGAGATCCTGGAACTTGGAGTCAACAGTGAATGACATGGATGTGTCGACGAGGTCGCACTTGCCCATTCTAGATGCCCCGTTGAAAGTGTACGGGGTGCCAGAACCGAATCGGCGGATGTGCGTGCTCGTACACTGGACATGATAGGGATCGAGGCGGATTCTTCCAGGTCTACAACCGGATGGGCAACCGGATCATCGTTGCTGGATCCAAGCTAGCTTCTTCAAAAATCCCAGGATAGTCTTACCGAGTTCATACGCAGACCGACGGGATGTGGCGTGACTGAAGCTGTGCCTTAGGACAAGACTTCCTTCATCGCCGTCGCTTGCGAACCTGCAGCTGCAGACTGTCCGTTCTGTTGGTGCTGGACCTGATACTCGGACCGTTCCATGGCGGTTGTAGAGTATCTCGCTACAAACAGCGGGTGAAGCATGGGGATGGCGAGGGAAACTGCCAGGCTAATCTGAAGGTCGGTTCGAGGACACGAATTCAGATGGTTCTCGGCCCACCAGCCACTTGAGGCATCTACCTGACTTTCTTTTTTGATGCGGCTGGGTGGCGAGCATCAAACCTGTTCTTGCATGTAGATGAAATTTAAAAGCTGGATGGAATCTTCATTCCTTTTTGCTAATGTGTTCTGGACGTTTTTGATTCCGTGTTCCATCATCTTCTCCATATTGGGACCGTTCAAGCGACGACTAGTCTTTGACTAGGCCTCGAGCGGCCATCACGGACCCTGGCATTGATTCATCCCCGCCGTTATTGACCAGCATAGTAACAATTGCTGCCACGAATGCCACGACGCTGCCGCCAATGGACCCCGAATGGGCTGCTGAAAGCAACACCACCCAGATTCTGGTGGTCGTGTCGATCTTCAACTTTCTGGCTCTCGGATGCGTTGGAGCAAGATTGTATGCCAGAATATGGGTCATCAAGGCGCCTGGGTGGGATGATTGGGCGATGATACCTGCTGCCGTCAGTTCCCGTCATTCTTCGATGGCAGAAAACCCCAAGCTGACCTCGACCTCTACAGATCTGCTCAGTGGCTGGCGGCTGGGTCATCCTCATAATACAGGCCCAATATGGCCTCGGTAAACATTATCGAACGATCGAACCGGCCGATTACACCAAGTTCCAGCAAGCTGCGTTTTGGTCCGTCATCATATCATCAGCCGCCGGCATGATGTTTCTGAAGCTCTCCATTGCACTGAACCTGCTCCGCTTGAGTACGCAGAGATGGTACCAATGGTCTTTGTGGGCAATCATGGGTAGGATTTCAAAGTTTAACGTCAAGATGGACGTATGCTGACGAAAGCAGGCTTGACTGTTGTCTACTGTATTGGCGGAATGTTCCCGTTTCTCCTCAACTGCAAGCCGATGTCAGGGTATTGGGACAAGACTCTTCAGCCGAAACCGGTTTGTATGGCTTTGCCGCTGTTTATCAAGCTCGGCGTACTTAACACTGGTTTGTTTCCCCGTGAATCCAAAGTTCAATGGACCTACTGCTAACAGAAGGCATAGCTCTCAATATCTTCACCGACGTTGTTCTTGCCACGCTTCCCGTGCCTGTTATTTGGAACCTGCAAATGAAACTTAGACTTCGACTTTACGTCATTGGTATCTTGAGTCTCGGCTACCTGTAAGAATTTCTCATGGATATCCTGCTCGACCATCGCTGACAACTTCAATTAGTGCCGTTGCCATGGGAATCATCAAGGCCGTTTACCAAATCGCATTTGGCTCCGATATGGATAAAACATACCATTACCACATCTTTGTCTGGGGATTGTAAGTGCACAAGGTAAACCTGTTGCGCTGACTTGCTGACATCTCTTTCACAGTCTCCAAATTCAGTTCGGAATCATCGCGGCCTGCGCGCCCGCCCTCCGACCCCTCGTCAGCAAGATTCTGCGCCTCACCTCATACGATGACTACACGAACGAGTATGGCAGTAGGTCACATATGAGCGGAACTGCAGTGCGGCACAAGCACCGCAATACCATGCGCAGTGGCATGGGTCCGCGAGTAGTCAGGGATCAGTACGAGCTGGATGGCAGGGAGATGGGTGATGGAGACAGCGACGACTGTCCTATGCCAACTGCCAAGGGAGCAACGGTGACTACGGCAAAGTTCTACAATGACAAAACTGGGGAGGGGTCGGGCAGTGAGGAGTTGATTCTGCAAGGTGGCACAAGGAACAGTTTCAAGGGTATCATGAAAACCACGGAAGTCACTGTAAAATAGAAGGGTTATGGACCGTAGGCTTGCGGGCGTTCAATTGAAAAGAATATCTTGAGCATTGCGGACAATCTTACCTTCCAGCCAGGCTAGCCAAATTGGCCGAGATTTGCTGCTCCCTTTGCCAAGGCTGAGTGCACGACTTGACCTGGAGAGCCGAGAAGGATGTTCGGCGTTGGTCGTCGTTGGAGCCAGGGTTGTCGTCCAATTGTTCGTTGGAACAGGGGTTCAAGTGGAAAAACACTCAGAACACTGGGACCACTGGGGGCACGGGAGGTCTAGCCCCAAAAACACTTGCTCGAGAACGATCTTTCAATGAGACGATGGCAAGTTGCTCAATACATGCTCTTTCGGCTCAAGAAACAGGAAATACGAACAAACTGTGACGAAACAAAAGCAAGTGGAAAATACCAGCACAAACTCACGTCACCACCATATCGGAGTCGGATTCAATGGTGGCGTTCTCCACGAGTCCTCGACTCCATGCAAAATTCTGTCGGCCGCCTCGAGTTGACGGGAAGTCTGCGCCGGTTGCTGACCCAGAGATGGCGTTCTCGTTGGTCCGAATAATGTGCTTGTGTTGACCGGCGACCAGGGCCCCGGTTTGGGCCCCGGACGGGACGCACGTACGCCAGTGGGGCTGGGTCCAACTTCAATGCAACCTAGTGTTGGTCCTTCTTCGTTGACGTTGCTCTGAAGGTGCATTCCAGATGAAGTTGAACCTCCGTCCCAGATCCTGGTCTCGTATGGACTGTCTTGCAGACGAGGGGCTGGCGAGTTCTGGAAGTGGCGAAGAACGAAACTTGTGGCGGATTGAGAAAACACATTCAAGGGGGGCAAGTTCAGCGAGGCGATATGCATATTAATGAAATACCAAGATCAAAGTCTAAATGGCGTTTGCACAATATGTACGGGTTTGAATTATGTGCTACCGAAGAATATGCATACTGGATGATATGCTAATTACGTCCCCCCACAGCCCAGATTGCCCTCGCAGCCACCTCTTCTCTTCAATCGCTGCCTCAGAACTCCGCCAACAGCTTAGGCAGCACAAACTGGTTGTTGTACGCCCAGAGAATGGTCGAGAATTGGGCAGTCCAGGCACCGCCAGTGAAGAAGGTGCTCTTGCGTCCCTGCAGGGCGTAAAGGTTGGTGATGAAGCCGGCCTTGAGCTCCTCAGGAGAAACATGCAGATGCATGGCGCCGTGGTTCGACCAGTACTTGATGTTGGGACGCTCGTTGCCGAGGCTCGCGATAGTGCCGGCATCCGCCATGTTGCTAAGGGCCTTCTTGACCATCTTCTGAGCCTCGCAGCTTTCCAGGTCGCCAGTAGCAGCAACGAGAACGCGGAACTTGTCAGAACCGAGGTAGGAGAAGCCATCGACAAAAGGAGTACGGGGAAGGTTAAGCCAGTTGGCGGGGTTTAGGTTGGTGTAAGCCGTGCTGTCAGGGAGAGACGGGTGAGAAACGACACCAGCGTAGACGGAAGACCACTGCCACTTCTCGAAGATAGACGTCTCCTGCTCATCGATGTCGATACCGTTCAGGTTGTCGAGGGTGGGCTCGAAAGAGATCAGGAGCTTCTTAGCACGGATGAGAGTGCGGGTGTTGTCGGCACCCTTGACGAGAACCTCAACGCCCTCCTCGGTACGGGCAGTCTTGATAGCAGTCGACGAGTAGAGAACGTCGTCTCCGAGAAGATCGGCAATAGCGTCGTAGATGTCCTGGTTGCGGAGCGAAACAGGCACGAAAGATCCAATGGTACCAAGCAGGGAGCGCGTGATGGGCGCGCCAAAGGCCTGCATGACGTACAACGTCGTCATGTCACCAAGGTTGCCCATTCCCAAGCCAGTGACCTGGAAAACTCGAGGGACTGCGGCCTCCAGCTGGTACTTCGCGACGAAGTCGGAGAACTTGAGAGTCAGGTCCTCCGGAATGCCAGCGGACGCGGTGGGGAAGTTCTCGTAAGAGGGAAGGATGAACGCCTCGTACTTCTCGCAAAGAGTAAGGTACTTGGCCAATCCAGCCTGCGTGAGGTTGTAGGCGGGCGCAGAATAGTTAAGCTTCTTGCCCGTGTCGAAGTTGGCGTAGGTCGTTGTCAGGGAAAGACGAACGGGGTCCTGGATCGGAATGTTCAGGCGCTCGACGAACTCGCGAGCCCCGGTGTAGTCGGTGTAAGAGTAAACACCAACATCGTAGGGCTTGCCGGTCTCCGGATCGTCATAGCTCGAGACGTGACCTCCCTTCACGGCGTTAGTACATGGAACTTGGTATCTATGCGAGGTAAGAGATGAGACTTACCAGACGGTTCTTCTTCTCAACAACGGCAATGGTCTTGTTGTAGTCCTCACGAAGACGCACGGCAGCGTGAGCGCCAGAAGCACCTCCTCCGAGAATGACTACATCTCTCTCAATGACGCTGGTCGCAGCACTGTCGGGGATGGCGGCCGCTGCCACAAGGGTCAGGGTGCCGAAGAAGGCAGCAATGCGGGCAGACATGATTGGCAGGAAGAAAGGTATTAAAATTAATGAATGAACGGAGCGATCAATACCGAAACCTTGAATGCTCGTGGTCGCGGGTCTCTTCTCGTTGACTGGCGAAGCAGAAGAGAGCGATGAAGACGAGTAAAGACGGTCTTGAGCTCATGTCGTGGCAATATGAAGATATTTATGTGAGCACCGTCTTGTATGGTACATCTGCATGCAATGTGCGGTAGCATCGGCATCATCCAATGTCGTTGGCTGCGGCTGTCATTTGCCCCTGCAGGACGCCCGCCGGAACCTGTTGGAACCTCGCGATTGCCAGGCCGCATCACCATCCTAATTGGGACGATTAGTTGCATATTACAGAGCCATAGGGCCGGGGGTGAAAAATGGCCCTTGTGTTTGCCATCGCCTTCGACATGTCGGCACCCCGCCGCGAAGACTGCTGGAAAAGTCGGTTCAGTGGTTGGAAGTCTGGGCAAGATTTCAACGACGGATCCCACTCAACGGGCTCCCATCTCGCCAGATCGGTTTCGTCTCAATAGAGTGTGCCATCCGTGCGGCGAAGGACACCGGAACAGCCAGAGGATCAACTTCCTGGCCAGTCCATGTGGAGAAGGTGGAGTTTTCAACGTGGACTGCAGCGGCCGGGGCCCGGGGTCCAGGGGCCTGGACATGAGAAACATGGGTGCCACCAACGGCAGTGATGGTGCAGGAGGGAAGTTGAGAAGTGGCAGATGAGAAATCTGCTGGTTTTGCGCACCTTTCTGCGGGTTTAACGAGGCACTACTGCAGGCCAGTAAGAGGGGCTTTTATCGAAGTGGAAAATCTTCTGATCTCATCTCCAGCCTCTGGATTTCTCCGTATTCCACCGGCGGACGGCAAGATGTGTTTTCTGGGAAGAAAGAAGCTGGAGTCACTCAATTTTCGACATTTCTTCCACATGAGTATGCGACATCGCATATGTAAATATAGACTGCCAAAGGTAGACACACATGTATGCTCCATGGTGGGGTAGTGTGTTGATCAGGTTGAGGCGTCCCTTAAGTTTAAGATGGTAGAGAGGACCCTTGCCTCACCACGTGGTTGAAACAAGGTCTTGCATTGATAATCAAAGTCACCATGTTGCATGGAGTAAGCGATGAGAACGCTAGTCGTGGATGGTGAGAAGCCTCATCCGTGGCAGTCCTTCGAGACTGCACACAAATAAGATACGTAGCCCTCAACGACTGCAAGCCTAGTTATTTGCATGATTGGTTGCACCATCAAGTCGCATTTGAATGGATTCATGAAGCGAGGAAGAGCTTTTGCAAAATACTCTCAGCAGCTGACGACTAGAGAGCTTCTCATTGCCGAATTCCCGGAAGATAAACCGAATTTCTGAGGGCGCCCGGAACCCATTTGTTGCCCCGTTTCCAAGCAGATACCACACCTCAAGTCAGCTTTGCCACGTTTTCTAGAACACAAGTGCCCCTTGTACCAGCTCAAGATCGGTATAATATGCTGTGTGGCACAGATGGTCAGGGCCGGAGTACCAACAGGGATGCAAATGTCAGGTGCCTGAGGTTTGGCTCCGTTGGAGTTGAAGTACGAAGGGGTCGTTTGGCAATAATCAAGCCGAGATGAACAGTGCCCACCTTGCTTTAGAATGAATTTGACATGAGCGTAGCATGTTCGATGACAGAAAGGGGCGTCTTCAATGTCGAAGTTTGTCCTGCATTGCAGCCAACTACATACAAAACCCGAACACGCTGTCTTCCACTGTGCCAAAGTTTATGTCTTCGCCCAACGCCCCAAAATTGGTAGCAAGATCCCATCCACCTTTTCCCATCGAGTCCATGGTGCACCCTTGATTGAACATTGAATTGAAGACGGAATCAAGATCTGCCTGGAGGTCTGTAGACGAATTATTATTACACTCAATACCACGTTTGGGTAACATACCTGGAAGATTTTGAATCTCATCTGCGGGTTCTTCCATGTCAATGTTCTGCGCGACCTTTTCTAAACGCAGCATGAGAGACTTGAGCAGGTTCAAAGGTCGTTTAAGGCCGTAATTACAGCCTTTTTGATATTCAAGCAGCGCCAGCCAAAAGCAGCGGATGCAGTTGATATGCTCCTCAGAGTCTTGACCGGTTTGCTGCAGAATGACAACGACCGCACAGTAGCTTGCATATGATATGCCATACTGAGCGCGGCGGAGGGTGAAGGTCTGCTTATAAACCTCAACGAGCTTCCAAATGCGGAAAGCAGCCCTGAGGCATCTCTCCTCGGCGTCTTTTCTGGATTCAGCACTCAACGAAAACGTGAAGTGACCGCGATTGAGAAATGCCTGCTCAGTCAGGATGGTCAAGGTCCAAAATATAGCGCTTGTTTGTATCAGCGAAAATGACCGGTTCAGACAAAAGAAGACTTACTGGGGTGTGATCTGGTGTGGTGGCGGAGTGATAGGCTCAAACCCCAAGATTCCAGACTTCACCAACGCATCAATATCATCCAAATGAGACATCCTAGAATAGGGCTTTCCGATGACATGGTAAGTGAAGTATGCGAGCTGTTGTTGACGCAAGACGTGCAGATCGTCAGGAAAGTCCTGGAAAGTCTTCATCAAGGCAGCCTCTTTTGAAGATCCTTGCTCTTGTTCGCGCATGAATTTGCCATACAAATCGTCGTATAAGCGCCGACCTTTGGGAGTCAGAGCAATACCTCGCTGTTCTATCTCCCCGAATCGCGCTTTATGTCTACCACCTTTCTCGGACCCACTAGAAAATGCGATCTCCTCCTCGAGAGCGAGGAAGCTGGTCTGCCTCAGGAGGATGGGGAACTGCCTGGATGGTGGCCCCTCTATCCTGTCTTTTGCCTGCAGGCCGTGCTCGTGCATTTCAAGTTGGGCGGCCTCAATGTCCAAAACCCGAGGCGTAAGATGGTTGATATGAGGTCCTCTGAAGCACACCACATCTGCGATCAAGGGATGAGCCTCTTGAAGACGTCTGTACGTCTGTACATCGACCGTTGAAGTCTTGTGCCACCGAAAAGTCTCGAGAGCCTCAATGATGAGGTCGTCTGCTTTTGCCTTGGGCACTGACGTGAGGGCCTCCAACTCTTTAATAAGCTGCATGCATCGAGGCGTGAAGATTTTCCGATCACTTAGGACCCTCTCCGCGCACGAGCGCAACTCGTCATCGTTGATGAGATCCAGCCTCAGCAGGGAGGTGAAGACGCGAAAGGGGCTATGGGCGAGTGCGTGACTGGTAAGAGGCCGGAAACAAGTTGCGTGGACAGGAAGACCAGCAACTGAGAGATCGTAGTAGCCGACCGCATGCATGCCCATGATTGAAAATAGGCGTCGGATCATTTGAAGCTCAGCGGGGGTGCCGAGACGAATTGCGCCGTGTCTCTCGACCTCTAGACGGTATTGCGTGTTCGAAGCGTGCTGATTTTGTTGACGATTGATTTCCGACACAATGTTTACCAGAGTTCCGTATTGGGGAACCTCTGCGCGGTACATTTCAGACAATGCCATTGAAAACTTGGCCCTAATCTCGTCAGGGGAGACTTGACCATCATTGGTGGTAGTGTCCATTCTGTTGATGACTCGCGATGGGGTCGTATGTTTGTAATGCAAGGTCCGTAAACGGTGATAGCATGAACTCTGGCGCCAGGACGGTTTGTAGAGAAAGTGTGCAATTGTTTGGGCTTTGATAAGGTATAAAATATAGCTTCTTACATGTAATCAGTCAAGTCAGAAATATCCGCCATGTGTGAGAAGAGATATAGGCCTCGTCGGACATGCTCGGGCGTGCATGTCCGCGGTGGATACACCTTCGGACATGCAGGTCCGCCGCCCTCGGTCATTCATGATGTCGAACTCGATAATGAGGGCTAACCCCCGCGGAGAGATTTTGAATGGAAAATGATTCTAGTCTCAACTAACACATATTTCATATGGCTGAGCTCGTTGCATTCGCCTCCAAGAAAGAATACGGGTGGAGACCACATCAGAGTTTGCATAGAAGCTTTCGACATGGGTGCCAGCTCCGAGGGTTGTCTTAGACTTCATCTCTGAAGTTTCTCAATTTGCTCATATAGACTATCTCATAGGTTTCCAGGTGTTGCCCGAACACCGGCTACATCTAGTCCCGCACGATACTGGGTGCCAGGTAATCATCCAGATGATGTACAGTCTTGAGACACGAATTGTTACCCATGTGGTCATCTTGGATGCATATCCCGTCCATCATTCCATTTAGCAAGTAAACTTAGCAGGTCCTGGGATCGTGTAGGATGTGACCGGCGGGTAATAGATGTTGATGGTGATGCCGGGGTCAGTTCCCTTAGTACGGTGTCAGAATTCGGTTTCATAAACTCAAAGGATGCGCTCTTTACCTTGTAGGCACCAGGAAAGCTGACGGTCGACGGGGTCTTGGCCCCAGTTCCGCCGACGACGTTGATCTGGGCGCACTCCATGTACAGCTGAGCTCCTGGGTACGAGCTGGCGCCGTGCAGGGCAATCATCTCAGCTCGGAGAAGGTATTGGCCACTGACGATGCACTTCGGGATAGTAATGGACTGGCGGCCCTGGTTGTTGATGACGTTCGAGGTACCCCAAACACCATTGTTATAGCCATCCTCTTGAATCTTGAACCAGCCGTCACCAATACCAGTATCAGTCTTCGCGTCGCTGACCTTCTTCATGTAGGTGATAGTAGGTCCTAAGTGGCTGGCATCCATGACATCGTCAGCACCACTAGTCAAGGTGTGGCGCCAAATAGCAGTGACGGTTGATCCGGCGGTGACGCTGATCACCTTATCGGTCGGGGTAGTCGGGTTCGGCGGGCCATTGCATGCGATGTACTGGGAAGTGACATCTGTCTGAGGGCCATCGTATGAAGGCGTTCGGATACCTTGGGACACTCCAGAGTTTACACCATCAGCCTCCAAGGAGACGAAGATGGTGTGGGCCTGGGAGAGGCTGACCGCGGCGAGAAGGTTGAGGAACTTCATGATGGCTGGCTTCGATAGTCTGATACAGACAACAAGTCGTCCTTCAGCAGACAAAAACATGGTTCTTATATCTCAAGCCCCAGAGCTAGACGTGCCATGCCTACGCAGGACTGAAGGCCAGAGAGAACTAGGTCTGACATAAAGACAGACTAACCTGCCATTTGCCCCCGGTGCATTAGCATCCGTTGCTCTGTGAGGAAGGTCGTTGCACTTCAGGAGTATTGTCGATGCCGGTAGTGGACGAAGTTGGCTTGGCGGGGCAGTCTCATCCGGCATTTAGATTGAGGTTTGTTGAAACCCCGCGAATCGTCTGGCGCCCGAGGTGCAGCTAACCATGGTTCGCCTGGCGGGGATCTCACCATCCATGTCGCGCTCATCGAATCGCGTGTCCGAAAGCTTAGCGTTCAGACGACTAAATCAATCAGAAACGCGACTTGGTCGCAACACCAGGCGCCGGTTCCCGATTTTCCGCGTGATGTTTAGAGACCAGGTTCTGTACAGAAACAATGGTCCATGGAAACACTCAGCTACAAATATGCTAATGATGCTTGACGTCGGACGAACGCTCCACACACGATGGACCCCTTAAGACAAGAAGTGAGTCCACCGTTGCGTAATTCAGGGGCAGCATCGGGTGGGCATTGCAGCATCAAATAACGCTTAAGTCATTACACATGATCGGTCGGTAGAATCTAAGCATATTACATGGCCATTCATATCGTCATAAGGTTCACATCTTCCCCATCCTATCGTCGTCCAGATCCATGCGCGACACGGTCAACAACTAACCCGCCAACAGTGCTTCCTACGATGTGCTCCCAACTCTTGTGTGTCTTCTCGTTGTTCTTGCCAGCGACGGCGTCAATAGCTCCGGCGCCTGCTGCAGCCGTCATCACTCTGGCAGTGCGATCCTTGTCCTTTCTCGACAACCCGGCCTCGATAATACCGGCGCTAGCTGCGGCGATGGCAGCCTGACTCCAGTTTGGACCTGCACTCGAGTGTCTTCTTTTGCTGCGACTGCTGTGATGATGGTGGTGATGATGCCTATGTGCGCGGTCGTGTTCATAGTCTCGTGATCTCGGCCGGGAATGCGATGGCTTCTCATTATAGTAATACTCCCGAGGTCGGTTTCTGCCGGTCTCGTAGACTTCGATCTGCCCGCTGCGGTCAGGGTACTCGTAATGTCTTTGAGCGACACGCACTGCGCCAACATCCCTTGTCGGGCTGTAGTCTGGCCGGTCGCTGGTGTAGTCTGAATATGTTGGAGAATGGTGCCTATGGAGATGAGGCGGGTAATTGTCTCTGTATTCGCTTCGATGTGTCATCTTGGATTCGTTTGCTTGAGGTGAGTTGAGAAGTGGACTTCGAGGATGAAAGCGAGAAGGATCATCCAGATCAATTTTGGAATTAAGCTTATATACCCAGGTTCAGCTCGACTCGTCCGGAAGGGCCCTTGGAAGAGAACCCTACCAGAGTACACAGATTGCGGATCTTTGGAGGGACTGATCAATGTTGTTGCCACTTCAGCGTAGCTTCGCGGGTTACTTTCTGATGTTAGGCCCTTGGCAACGTTGGAATTTCGCCCGGATGATGCTGTTTAACCAATGATCTGACTCAGATTACCAGTTCAAAAAGTGGTGGGGTGGATCATTCCCCCATGTGAAGCCGCAGGTGTTCGTCGTTTTTGACATGCATGACCCAACAAAATAACAGGTTTTTGAGTCTGAATAACTCCGGGGCAGCATGCTATTCGACCTCTTTAGAGTTTATTCTGGTGACCCAGCACTTTGCTGATTTTTGGTTTGTTGAACAGCCTGACACAAGGTGAAATTTGGACTTGGAGACCTGGAGAGTTCGCGAGAACAATTCGACGAGACCTGGCAACAATTGATCGCCGGACTTCTGGGAAAGCACCGGGCCCAATTGAAGCCAAGAAGCCAAGTTGCTAAGATAAGCCAATATACAGGCAGGAAAGATTAAGTACATAAAAAAAACTGGATCTTCTGGGCTTGATGTTCACATGGCCTAGCCATGACGTGAAAATGATGGGAATGTGTCGGAACAAACTCCGGGGGGTGGAGCCGACCGTGGACCCTAAGGGCATCGACTCCGCACCGAGCCGGCCGGATTACAGCGCCGAGACTTGCAGTCTGCAGGGACTTTTTGAGCAGATTATAAACAATATTCGAAAAAGAATCTCAAATTCTGTTTGATTACTACTTTGTACATAGCTGTATCCGACGCCGTGGCTGCCCTCTGGGCATACATGTGAATTCCCATAGCGATGTAATCTGGCAGAAAGAAGAAAAGAAACATGGTTGTTGGGAGACATGATGAGTAATTATGAGTCTTGTAAGAATCTAAGTTACAGATTTCATCTTATCGTAACATCGTGAGTCGTGTATCCCATCTGATTTGTATCTATCTCTATTGAGTTCCACCAACGATAGGATCCGCGTTGGTAATGGTACCTTCCTTCGTCGCCAGGAAGTCCGTTATTAGCTTCGATGGAGGTCCGTGTGAAGCGGCCGGGTTACTTCGGGTCGGAGCGAAGAACATCGTATTGCGGAACTCTTCAGCCAGTTGTTCAGACTCGGTGATGCTGAGACATTCTTCCAAGCGGGCGACATCTTGAGTGTCGGTATCTCGAACATGGGCGGCCATGTCTACCCAGAGGCTCTTCAGTTGAGGCTCGAAGCTCGCATCGTCAACGGGGATGGCTTTCAGTTTGCAGATCTTTTCCTTCAGCTAGTTATCACTAGAGTTAGCGTCTGTTCGCCGTCGCGTTACCTCGTGGACAAGGGGGGGCGCTTACGCTCTTTCGGTCCGTGCAGTTCTTCTCACACCTCGAGCTGCCGTCGGCAAGACGAAGCTTCAGAGCTGGAAGAAGCACTTGTTCCTCGCTAACGCAATGTCTTGCAAGCTCGAGGGCAAGCTCATTTCTCCAACGAAGCTTATCCTCTTGTGTAGCTGCCGTGAGGATGTACCGGTATGCTTGCTCGATCCTGCGGTGATCTTGCTTGATAGCTTCGGACAGACGGGTCGGCATTTTGATCGTGATTTAGATGCGTGTCAACGCTTCGATGGTCTATGATGAGCGAATTCGGGTATGAGGGATGGTATTGCTAATTTGGTTGAGCGTGTATAGATAGAAACGAGGACCATTGGGTGATGGACGTTGCTCAACTAGAAAAGGATCGTGGTTATCTAGGCCGAAAGTATGTTTTCTTAAATAAAACCTGCCAGGAATGACGTTTGGGTACGCAAGATCGTGGCGCTGAGCTTCGCCTGACCCTAACGTGACACACCGCAAAGCCTCAACTTGTGTCTGGGTCTCAGCCCAACGGAACGTGCCACCTATCATCTGTTTGAGCTGCACCCTGCAGCATCCCGTGAAGCAAAGCGGATCAGTGGATCGCTTGCGCGTTTAGAGGCGTTTTCTCCCTCCCTTGGCCCTTGCCGCATCACAACTTGGCATGCTCCAGATGCCCTACCCCGGGCTCCCGGTGCGCGCGGGGCAGCCGCTCCGGCGTGCGGAGGGAGTGATCCGCGGATTGAGCGGCACGCCAAACTGCCTATTCCGGCAATGTGGACCGCGCATCCGGCAGCATCAACCCGCTCGGTGATTTGTTCGACAGCCGAGAGGTGCGGGCGGTGCCTGGCTGAGCACTCGCTGCCCAGCCTTGATTTTTGTCCCGCCACTTGATCATCATCGCGTCACCCCATTCCGCTTCCGGGTCCCTGCCGTGCCCAGTAGAGTTTCAGATCCTCCCACGTGAATTGGGTCTAAATGTCGGTAAGGATGCGGCCAGGTGAGGACCACGCAAACCGTGCCTGGCATCGTAAACCAGGCACCGTTGATCGTCATTTGAATGAGCAGAAAATGATGTATGTTCTAGACAAGGGTCATCAGCAAACAAACCGGAAGTTAGGGATGATGCAGCTTGCCTGCAAGGCAATCATTGTTCCGCGGAGACGTAATCGCAGTTAGGGACTCCCTGCTCTCAATACCGCATGAGAATTCATGGGGAAAACCAAAGGATGGGTGACTGGATCCTAGCATCTTCTCTCGGAAAGCCTGGTCGAAGTTTTCAAGGGAAGGTCTGTCTCACAAACGACGCCATTCGTGGCCTCACTAGTCCAACAGGCTGACAGGACACCCTCTCATCAAGAATTTGCGGGGTAGACCCTTCTCCAGATTCAAGAAAGACCGAGCTAAAAACGATCGACGGGCCCAACCGTTTGCTATCCTCCGTGCTCCTACTTGACAATCTCTGAGGCGCAGGCCATTCCTCGGTGTACTACCTTGAGCACCTGCGCCTCACGGGGCAGGCGTCTACCGGGGAACCCAGTCCATTTGCAGTGACGTCGGGCCTCATCGATACAAGGGATACACAATCAGGACTAATCCCAACCACTCTTAATTGTTTCTTTCCAGTCTCTTAAATCCTGCCACGGTCCAGAAACCTGTTTGGAATGTCGACATGTTTGCAGCGTAAGTACTCAGCCACGTTCTTACCCAGAAAGTCGTAGGAAGAGCTAGATGTCACTCCTCTATCTAGGTGATCCTTCAATAGGAAGTGCACAGCTAAAGTGAATTGATGTTAGCGATACTCGGGACAAATTTGGAGTGAATTGACTAACCATGCAGGTGTGGAAGCTCGAATCGGAATATGGGCTTTCCCATGTCATCCTCACCCAGCAACTCTCGAATTTTGCTGACAGTCAATATCGATCTCAACCAATCCCATTCATCGGCATTTCGCATAAAAAAGCCAACGTTGCTGTCTGAACCTTTGTCACCTGACCTCGCGTGCACAACATATCCTAGTGGTGCTCGAGTCGTCGGCCCGAGGGTGGTCACGTTGATCGGGTCCTTAGTCTCATACGTCGGTTGGTTGTACACAAAGTCAACCGTATCCGACGGCGGATCGATGCTCACTCGCTGATTCTTCCACGGAAGATGGCACACGTGCTTAGCGGCACTTTGGGGTATGATGCTGACCCAGTATTCGTAATATTCTCTGGGGAAGGCTTGTCGCGTGTCCATGTGGAATGTTGCACCTGGGTAGCTTTGCATGATGTTGTCGACCATTGGCTTGAGGAACTTCAATGGTGAAAGGGTGTCTTCGTCGCGGGCTTGGGCAAAGATGCGCAGGTCGACGGTTGCTGCATCTTGGTTGGAAGGATTGACCGGGCATGACCCGTTTGTCCGGAATTTGAGGCAGGAAAACTTCGACTCGTCAAAGACGTGTCTGAGTTGGCGTTCAAACAAAGCAGCCTTCTCGGGTATGTCAAGTCCGCAGAGAAAGTAGTGTGCTTCAGCTTGGAATCCTCCCTTTGCAGTGATACCGACTTTTGTGGTCGGGGGTGGTTTAATGTGCCCAACGTTGAACACTCGCCTGAATGCCATTAGCATGCACTAAGAACCTTTCTGGGTGTCACCTACACTTCATTCTCTCCGACCTTGTCCATCTTGATGTTGTCAAGGATGGCGACGACGTCGGAATTGTAGTAATAAGGCCCCTGAATTTCGTACAGCAATTGGGCCTTACACGTCTCAGGTGTAACCATGCCCCCTTTCTTTGCTTGCTTATAGACTGTGAACTCTCCAGTTCCCTCGACCAACGCAATCGGAAATCCAACATCAACAGATGTCCCAGGAAGTGTCTTGAACCCAGAGAAGTTGCCGCCTGTCACATAAGTGGTACACTCGATGAAGTGACCTGCCACAAGCGCATGCGCGAGCTGTGACAAGTCGTCCCTCTTCCACCCATGGTGGTATGCGGCACATGCAACGGTAGGCGAAGCATCTGCTACTCTTCCACAGAGGACGATGTGAGCGCCCTGCTTGAAGGCTTCGACGATACCCCAGCATCCGAGGTAAGCTTGCGCGTAAATGGGCTCATACGGCCAGTCCTTGATGTTCTCGCCTTCTCATATCAGTTTTGCTATCGAGATATCTTTACCTGAGTGTTGCAACCATACCTGTTGTAAGATTCCTGAATCCGTCCCCTGACTTGAGCCCCTTCTGAACAACATTTATGACTTCGTCTCCCTCTATCCACGCGACTTTCAGCTTCAGACCTTTTTCTGCAATCACATCGACCAAGACATCGTGTAGTTTCTTCGTATCGCTCGCACCAGCATTAACCGCAACTTTAATCCGCCGTGCATCGAGGTATTTCAGGGCCGGCTCAATCGCTTCGAGGAAAGAAGGCTCAAATTCTGCTGAGTTCAGAGGGTCGTCGGCCTTTGCACCCCCTCTGAGCGCCATATTGTATTCTGACATCCAGTCACCAACGATGTACTGGACATCTTCGTCCCGAGCTAGCTCTACCAATCCCCCTCGCCTGTCTGCCGCCGACCCTGAGGCCGACGCAATGCGTGCCGTACCATTGGCGCGAGAGGCCAGGTGTCCGGACAGATTGGTTCGCAAAGGCATAATGAAGTTTGGATGTTGTTTATCGATACAGAAGTACATAGACTCTCACTTCACTGAAGAACAGGTTTTGAAACGATGAACAAAACCTGATCTCTGACTTGGGCGGTCAATTCAAGTCGAGTATGCACGGGCACCCGAGGGACCGAGATACCGTTTCCCCCGCACGCCGCACTCGTGGAACTCCAAACAGCGGCACAAACCTCGGCTCGAAGAACTCTGCGAATGTTGCGACGAAGTTGGAGACCCCAAGCGCAGATCCGGGTTGTTCGGGTATCCTTGTCCACACCATAGCATCTCCGGTCGAGGACGCTGCTGGGCCTGTCACCTGACAAGGTAATCACGCACGCCAGGCACTTCGGTCAAAATAACGACAATAAAATGAAAAGGTCTTGGAAATGCTATGCCAGTTGGTCGACTACGTAAATGAAAACCAGTGGACGATATGAATACCTACCATGTAAAGTGATTCGAAAACCGGCACTTCCAAACATTCCAAGACAAGCCCAACATAAAGTCTGGGAAATGAAATTGAACTATCCCATTTTCCCCATCGAATCTGTAGGCAGCAATGGCATCATGGCTCTGATGTCTCTCGAAGATGTGTCGAATGAGCTAAAAGAAAAGCAAAAGCCAGCGGAATTCGGTAGGATCTCAACCCGCTTACACGTCGAAGGCAATTGAGGGATCTGTCAGATTTGAGCAGGGTACGTTAGATCATACGATGTACGGCCGGTGGCTGTGTCCTGTTTGTTCGCTATTGTGAAAGTCATGCGCTGTGAAGGTGTCAAGACCCTTTCAGCTTCCTTGAAAATAGATATAATGACGAGTGAGCTCGGCGCTGTGGTCGAGGAGAAACTACGATCTGAGCTTCTATTGCCGTTGAAGCTTCTCATTGGTGACTTATGAGAAGTCAGTGAATGATCATATGTTCGAAGAAGAAGAGCGACGGTATGAGAAAAGCTGGCAGGTCCAATCTCGGCCGTGTCGGGGCGACGGTTAACGGACAAAGGACGCGGGTCTATCATGTATCTGGAATTAGCCAAGTCTTGTAATGCGAAGTCAACGCTGAATCAGACACGTTATTTGGATGATTTGGGTCAAGTTAGTTCCGGGCTGGGAGCCTGGGATCAATTGGCGGTGGGCCGGCGCAAGGTAAGGTTCGGAGACTGGCCTTCTTTACGGCGCAGCTCCAATAGTCATTTTGGTTCTTCTTCAATGCTTCCGGATCCTCCACCAGGTATATGCCATCCGAAGTAGAAGGAAAGATAAAGGAAAGAAGTGAGAAATGAAACCATGAGTTGATTTCAGTTGGTGGCCCTCTTTTCCTCCGTGGTAATGAGCTCGTTCTCTGGTGATATAGGAGACTCCTTCCTCTCCGTCGCACCTTCTGAGTGTCCCTCTTCAAGGTTTCCTGCCGCTGCTGCTTGCGCTTCATCCGCGCCAATGGTGACATTCGGAGCATATCCGAGTTTACCCTCATTCTGGCGCTTCGCAGGAATAAACAGGTCATACCATCGGGGGAAGATGAAGCTGCCGAAGATGATAAGAAGCGCAATATGTCCGACGCCAAAGCCGAGGATATGAAGCGGGTCGTACCGCAGCTTGTAGAATGCGGGATACGAGAACCCATAGACGATCGCAAGAATTGGCCCAGAAACGTAGCGTAGCAACACGGGCCAGAAGGTCGGGATATTCCAGTTCTTGCCACTTCCAATAATGACGTTGAGATCACGGCGAAGTTGATTTCCCTTGAGACAGGAGTTAGCTTGATCTTAGGAATGAAAGGAATCCATACTTACGGAGTAGAAGGCCAAATACCATAGGCGGCTCACGAAAGCATTCTGGCCCCAAAACCTAGGGGGGGTGGAATCGGGAGTCTTGCTCATCAGAACGGAAGCTATGCATCCAGCAAAGAAAAGCCCAAATCCTACACCGGCCCCCGCACCGGGACTGACTGCATGCGCAAGGGCAACACCGAGGACCATACCCAAGATGTATCCCGTGTTGTAGATGATAAACGGCACCTTGCCAACTTGTCCAATGACATCCTTGCAACGGTAAACGCTCGTGGAAGTCACGCACTCAGCAAATACAACGAATACCAGCGCGACGTCGTTTGTCCATTTGTCGATGCCGGTCAAAAGATAGTAGCCGAACTCCGTGCAGTAGGGGAGTGATAGCAGGAACGAGAGAATCGTCAGAGCTGTCACGACAATCGGGCGTGAGAACTTGATGCCGGTATCCATGACTAGAGTCACAATGGCGTCAAGCATTGCGAAAGCTGAGCTGAAGCCCAAGACCATGAGAGTAAAGAATAAGGCCACAGCCCAGAAGTTGGCGCCAGGCATCTCCGTGACGGCGAGAGGAAGGGTAAGGAAGCCGACTGTGAACCCTCCAATAGGGTTCTCAGGATCAGGGTACATTCCCAGATAGCCCACAACACCGAACACAGCAAAGGCTGCAATGTTCTCGAACAGAACGTTGCTGCATACGATGAGGATGGAGTCCATGACAGCATTCGAGTACTGACGATTGTATGACTAGACGGAGTGAGTCAGTTACGTAGGAGGATACGGAAGCTGTGGGCGCAATGCTTACCGCATAGGAGGTGAAGTAGCCAAATCCAACACCAGTTGAGAAGAAAACTTGCCCGCAGGCTGTCTGCCAGACCTGTCCACTGGCAAGTTGAGAGCCTCTCCACGTCGCGAAATACAGTTTGACACCTTCACCCGCGTTCTCCAGGGAGACTGATCTTCCAATGAGTATAATTGTGACAACAATCGGAAGGCCCATGGTGAAGTAGACCACCCTGCCCGTCAAACCGACACCACGGAAGATGCACAGCCAGCACAGAAACCAGGTGAAGAGGGTCCATCCGACCGTCTCACCCAGCAGAGCAGTGCCTGGATACTGTGTGTAGTTGGCGACAGCACTGCCATCGGCAGTAAGATTCCCTACAATAGGGTCGACGTTGGCGACTACATCGCGATTGAAGAACTCTTCGCCTCGGTTGGTCCACGGAAGCGGGCTGGTGAATGATTGCCGGAAGTAGTTCATGATCCATGCCAGATTGACGACGAAGTAAGGGCCGACCACGAAACCGACATACAATAGGGATAGCCCAGTGCCCTTGAGCTTTTGGTTGAGGTTGTTGTAGGCGACAACACTTCCTCCGCGATATGCCTCTATTCGCAATCATTAGACTCGGTAGCATTTGGGGGAGGGAAACACAAACGCCCAATAGCAATCTCCAGCACCAAAACAGGAATTGCGATAATGAAGACGGCCATCAAATATGGAATGTACCACTGTAGTCCATGGTTGTTGTACACCTGTGACGGGTATCGTAGGAGGTTACCCATGCCAGCGCAGCCACCCATAGAGGCCAGCAGGAAGGCCGCCCGTGAGGGCCACGCATCTCGCCCATCCTCTGCCTTGTTAGGCGGAGGCGCAAACCACCCGCCAATCTTTTTGAGCACGTCCATGCCTACGCCACGTGGAAGACGAGATATGCGCCGTCTGCCGGTGATCAAGGTCCGTCCCGGAAGTTACCCGGGGCGCGGAATCGTGTGATTGAGCTTGTTGAGGGTAGCTTATGTTGACTGCATGTGAGGCTCAAAGATGAGGTGCGAATGACTCCAAATGATGGAACCTTGTGGGATGAAGATCTCTTCAGAGAGTTCGAAGACTCATGTGGAGAAGGACGAAGAGAAAGAGAGAAGCAAGAGAAGACGAAATCATTCCTCTACCTCTAGGTACGTACCACATGGACCATCGTCATGCTGCCTTTTTATTCAGCTCTAGAGGTCCCCCAAGCATCTGATGCGACCCTGCTGGTCTGCAGAACTTTCACTCGGGTTTTCGCCGCAAGACGCGAACGCCCCCAGCCTGCCCACACAACCAACCGCCGCCAGCAAGCACGCAATCTTGTTTGGTTTCACGCCTCGTGGGGTTCTCGTCCGTTGCCATCTTCCAACGGGTCGAGGGTATGTGGGTAACAAAAGTCTTAGCATTACCTAGGACAAGACCTTAGCGAATCCTTCCAGCAGCCCGTCTCCCATGGCATGGCGGGCGGGAGCTGGAGGCGGAGCGCCGAGAGAAACATCCCGGTGAGCCAAGGTCTCGGCGGACTTGGCGACAAGGCTCTACGGTACCAGTATCCGTCTGGCCAAGACCGAGAACGGAGACAAGGGCGATGGTCCGTCGAATCACCGGAGCGGAATGACGCGATCGACCCCACCTGACGGGATTCCGGTCTGACCTAATAAGCAAACCGCTCCGTGGTGGTTCAATTGCGCTGGGTCGGTGTCACCGTGGAGTCGTGAGACTTTGACGTGGGATGACAGGCGGGGGGAGGACGCCAGTCTGGACAAAAGGACCTTGTTGGTTGTAAAAGTGACGAATAACACGTGCTCTCGCATAAGTTTACGTCCCGGGTCGCCACCAACATCACCCAAAAGGCTCCTCCATGCAGAGCATGCCGCTTGATCGAAGCCATCAACCCTTCAAGGTGCGCCTGTTGATGCCTTTTCAACTTTGTTCCTGAGCCGAGGATATGGCTCATCGGAGAAGCGCCACTGAAACTATGATTGTTGTGGCGTAGTGTATGCGCGAGGAAGACAGCTCAACTTCGCTCTGAGCCTAATGCTCCAATCATGCTTGCCGGAGTATATTCCGAAAGTCACATTGATCTAGGAATATCTCTCAGGCTCATGGTCCATCTGGCTGCATCTATCGCAGAGAAATCCCACGGTGTTGGCAATGCACCCCAGAACTTGGCTTGCTTGTGTATGCGAGTAGCCCTGGCTGATATGGAATTCCCTATTTGATAGGTCGACTCTGAGTGGGATTCTTTCACAGGAATGATACAATATGGGCCCCGGTGCTCGGGCTGGACATCAAGGGTGGGCCGACGCATGTCTTAAATTGAGGTCCCTGTATTCCTGCCAATATCTTGGCTGCATCCCTTCGCTATCCCATTGTTGGCCAGAGATACGAGATGTGTTCAGGTGACATGCCCAGTAGGACCGAGCAAGATAAGAATGAACGGGAGGCCGCATGGCTATTGAGAAGGTCGACGTCATTGTTCTAGTCCTGCCCTTTTCAAACCAGCCCCATCCGCAACAGCCTTGTCCCAAACTCCACCAGATAGTAGTCAGCATAGACCAGCCCGTGGTCTTTTGTTCGATGGTTGCTCATTGGATTGTTACAGACCGTGGCGTTCTTCAAGATTGACTCAAAGCATTCGCCTCCTAACACGTCGACGCCCGTCAATTCACCGTTCGTTCCAGCGTCCAGCCGAGCCTTCTCTCCAGCCAGGGAAAACTCCAAAGTCTCTTCCACGATTCTGAGCCCGGCCTGTAGGAATCGATCGCTGATATCGCGAAGACCCTGTCCCTCAAGAGACTGGGCCAGGATCAGCAAACCGTTGGCAGCCGCGGTCCCGGCCGAGGTGTCCCGCAGCGGGGGTTCTCCATCTTCAATCGGAGCATCGAAGTCCCACATCGGCACGTATCTCCCAATCTTCCGCTCGGAACCATCAGGCGCCGGAATTTCGACCTCTGCTTGTGCTTTCTCCAAACGTAATAAGAAGTATTCTGCAAGTCCACATGCCGTTTCGAGAAATTCACGCTCCCCAGTCCAGACATACGTCTGGGCGTACCCCAAAATGGCCCATGCTTGGCCTCGTGACCAAGTAGACGACGTACTGTATCCTTGTGCTGTACACCGTCCCTTGATTTCTCCATTGATTGGTGAAAAGTTGACGACATGGCAGGTGCTGTACAATGAACCGGGGAACCGTTGCTCTAGCTCCGGTGGTTCTAGTCGTAGATGTGACTTCAGGAGCGTACGGGCGTGTGCAATGGCGGCATCTGCGAGTTGTTTGTCACCAGAGTGAGCTGCGGCGTAGAAGAGAAGATCAAGGTTGCACATCGAATCGATGATAACGATGAAGTTGTCATCCATGCCTATGATAGGTAGGATTTTCAACCATGTCAACTGATCCCATGACCTTATGGCTCCAACAACAGAATTGAATCGAGTATGCAGGCTCTTGGCAGCCGTGAAGATGGTATCGAGAGCCCTTTCATCATGAAACAATTCCCACCTAGGTCTCATATGGGGCATTTGGATAAAACCAAGGTCATGAGTGTTGGTTAGTCGGGATTCGCCATGGATGGGGTCTGACCAGGCCTGTGCTAGTACTTGGAGTCGTCTTCGTACTTCAGGCAGATCGATGTCTGGATTATCCAACTTGATAGTGTGGGGATATTTGATGGCTCTCTCAAGAAGCGAGTAGAGGCTGCCTGCAAAGAACCCACAGGTCCAAAAGTCGATGTTTCTGGATTGATACTGGCCATATTTGGGGCCGATCTGCGGTACCGTCTCAGGAAATCTCTTGGGCGGATCCTGATAACTGTCAGTATTGAGACCTTCGAAAGTCACCAATCTGAGGAAAGGTGCTTAGACTTGCGTTGTCAATCAGATTTTGTGTAGCGGTTCGGATGATCTTTGCTATCACGTTTTCGGAGAACAACTCCGACAAGCGATCTCTCAACGTTTGCAAAGGCTGACGGGCTGGGGTTGCGGTCGGCATCATCGGCTGAGGGCAGCTTCCGACGTTGGCTGTTGCGTTAGTGGCAAGCCAGGCCCTCCGAGTGCTTCGTATCTCGACCAGCATTGAAACAACTTGATGGGAAGTCGAGAGTGGTTATAAGTTCGACACGAGTAAGAGATAATAGACTTCTTACGCAAGCTCATCCCCGAGCTCACGGGTACACGGCTGCGCAAACTTAGGTGGCACTAAGTAGGAGGGTTCGTATCCGGACTAGGCAAACTATTCCGCCTTTCTCAGGGAATACAAGTATCTCACCGAGATGAAATGCTCCGAAAAGTCGGTTGGCCCTGTTCTAAACCTTGCAGCCCGCACATTCTCCAGTCATGGGTGCCGACTCAGACGCGGGGTAGACCCCCTTCGGCCCCGCACGTCGTCCACCGGCCGATGGTTGCCCGAGATATTTTCCCTCTGGTTTTAGCACAACGTTCTTGCTGTGGGAGCCAAAGCGAAGATCATTCTCGTGTGGCGCAAGGTATCAAAGTCGGAAGTTCTATTCGTTGCATTTACATCAGTACCTAGGTTTTGCCATCTAGCAAGATGCCACCCCTCCGTGGCTTTTCTGGTAACCCAGTGAAGTCCCGAGATGACGTGGTGCGGGCCACAGAAGCTTTCCTCAAGCCTCTAATTCAATACTTTTCTCCTGGAAAGGCAAGAATCAAGCTTCCAGTTGCCACGGGTACTCACTTCGATGAAAATGCGGCCCAACTTGAGGGCTTCGCCAGGCCGTTGTGGGCTGTCGGGGCGCTCTTGATGAGCGGCGACCCCGATTGGGAGCTCGTTCAACCTTGGGTTGATGGATTCGACGCTGGCGTTGACCCAGGTCATCCGGAATACTGGGGCGATATTCAAGACTATGACCAACGAATGGTCGAGGCCGAGATGATCTCCTTTGCACTGCTGGCAGCACCTCGACATATGTTGTGGGATCGGCTTCGTCCCGAGACCCGGAAGAACCTCGTCGCCTGGCTTTCAAGCATGAATACCAAACTAGTACATCGAGCTAATTGGCTCTGGTTTCGGGTGTTTGGTAACCTTGCCCTTTCACGTGTGTGTAACGTTGATACTCCGGAGGTGCGCGATCAAATCGAGGACGACTTGAAAATACTCGACACATTCTACTTGGAGGATGGATGGTCCAGTGATGGCTTGTGGAGAACTCCTAGCATAGACGACGACGAATATCGGATCTTTCTAGAAATGGGTCGAGCCAACGCACTTCCTAGCGGACGGAATGCCTGTTTTTACTCAGGCAGTTTCGCAATCCAATTCAGCCAACTGCTCTACATAAGATTTGCTGGCGATCGTGATCCTGCAAGAACAGCGAAATATCAACAACAAGCTCGAGACTTCGGTGCTGGCTTTTGGAGGTTTTTTAATTTCAACGGCGCCGTGATACCTTTCGGTCGCTCACTTACCTACCGGTTCGCCGCCGCCGGGTTCTTTGCAGCCCTTGCTCTCGCAGATGTACCGAACATGCCAGCACCCCTAGCGAGCCCCGGCGCTGTGAAGGGATTTCTGCTCCGCCACTTACGATGGTGGGCCAACAACTCAAAAGATATTTTCTTCCCAGATGGGACGTTGAACCTTGGCTGGGTCTATCCGTGCGTCGTCTCTCCCCTTCACCTACCTGAGAAGCTAACCACTCCTTGTTAGAAACATGTATCTTACCGAAGACTACAACTCACCACAATCGCCTTATT